ATTATTAGTTTCAAATAAATGATTTGTTAGGCAGTATTGAAATAAATATTTATTCGAATTCAATAAATTTCTTTTCAGTTTGCGTCAGCCGTCAAATAGCGATTTCTCGATCGTCAAAATAATATTATCTTCAAAACTGAGTAAATTGAGCACTTTCTTCACAGATATATAAACAGATATATTTTTCAGAAAGCTACTCTCTCTTTCTTTTACCAACAATTTTTATCTTCGACATTTACACCTTATTTTACGTTCTCTTTCCTCCGTCTGGACTTTCCTCTCCATCTCGATTCGATGGCTATCATAAAGTAACGTCTCGAAACACGATTCCCGACCAAGCGAGATGGAATTGTAAATTCCATACCGATATACATACATGTAAGTGTGCGTGTGTGAACGTATGCGTGTGTAGCGAATCGCGTGCTCGCGCGCCGCGTGTGCGTGACACGGTGATCTAATTTCCATGTGTATCGAAGGCAGGTATACACACGGCTTATCGGCGATGCCGATTTCGCGCTTCCGCGCGCATTGTTCTCTTTCTTTCTCTTACTTCGACTGCCTTCTTTCCCTTCCTCCTCGCAATCGCGATTCTTCGCGTTTCTGCCCACGATCGGTCGTCATGACTTATTCTCTATTAACGTAGCTCTCTCGCGGAGCTCTTTTCAGCGGATACGCGAAAGCTGCAGCGGATTCGATCGCAATAAATTCGGCTCGTGGCGAAAAGCGTAGCACTTCCGACCGATCGTTATCGTGACGATGCGACCGTAACGGATGCGACCCGTATCGAAACGACACGGGGGAGAGGAAAAAATGGCGCGGAGAAACCCCGATCGTGAGCTTTTATCTGCGAGTGAAATGTGTATATACAGCGGTGTAGCGATTTTTCGGCGCTTCCCCATTTTCCGGTACGGTCTTTTCAATGTCCGGTTGTCAACACGGCGCGCGTTGGAAACGTACATATGTCGGCGATAAAAAAAAAGATGGACATAAGCGGGTCGGAAACGCGAGCTTTTACTCTCTGTCGATTCTGGGACTCGATCCAGATGAACGTTTCGAGAAGAATTTTCGAGAGCACGTCGTATTCCCGAGACGAGGAAAGATGACCTGGAAATACGCATCTGGAATACATTTCACGAAACGAGCGCGCGAATAATGGCGCGATTTCGTTCTCTCGACTCGACCGTGGGAATCGCCTGAGCGAATTAATTATCGCGACGAATCGCGCAGACGCGTTCCGATTGCGCGAGCGTTTGAACGCGCGCCGATCGGCGCGCCGATAATCGCGATAAGGGGATATATGTATACGTACAAACACACGGGTTTACACAGAGTCATGGGAATAAATATTGCCACACTGCTCTTTTTTTTCTTCGAACCCCTTCCCCAACTGCTCTCTTCCGTCCGGCGATTTCTCGCGTTACAGCCGCAACGCGCCGAGAAACGCGGACTCGCGGTTTCTCCCATAGTAAATTGTAATTGCACCGTAGATTGGCCTAACAATTCAGCCGCGATCGATCGATCAATCGATCTCTCTTTTTCTCTCTCACCTCTGCGGGCTTCCCGTTTATTATTTGTTTCAGTTTTTCATCGTTCGACAGCGTCTTACTCGCGGATAGCATTTTCCTTCGATTTAATTGTAGCGCGCGAGAGAACTTACGAAACGCGGGCATTCGCTCTCGTACACGGCATGCGGCGAAACGCCCGCGGAAAGATTTACGGGCGGAAAAACGAGCGACCCCGCTCGATTTCAGCCTCTCGCGGAAATTGAAACGGGAGAGGTGCAATTAATGGACTTTTGCGGCGCGCACGCGATCCTGTTTGTATGTTACGCTTGCTCCGCGCGCGTCATTTTTAACCAGATTAAATGGAGTATTTGTCGAGGCCGCCGCGAAAACCGCGTATCATGTGACGCGAATTTTTTTTACGAATAAATATTATTCTAGTATCTTAGCCGTTTGCGCTCGCGCATATATGTATATACGACAGCAATAGTGAAATTTAGAGGCAACAGGTAATCGAGTTTATTGGGGGAAAGCAACCGTATGGATATTTATGTGTATCTATAAAATTGAAATACTTATATGTATATGGTCTGCGTCTTATCGAATTTAAAAGTGGGAGAGATAGAAAAAGAGAAGAAAAAAAAGAAACAGTAGTTTCGAGATCTGTCTTGCATTCGCGCGGAAATACTTTCCACGGAAAACTTTCCTCGTGCGCTCTATATTTCGCACACGAGTGTCTGGATCCCATCCGCAGGATATCCGTTTTTCTCACAAGCACCGTGAGAGACCAACGACGACGCGGAAACAAACGGAGAAAAGCACGACGAACCGCGATCGTCGAAATGCCGACGAGACCAAATCCGGTCCCGTTCTTTCCTTTAGAATCGCGTGATTTTCGCACTCACAACACATGTCTGCATTCGTACCCGGTCGTCTGTGTAATGTAAGAAATTGCTTCCTAGTCGTCGAGGCAATGATCCTGACTCGAGAGTTCAACGTTTCTCGTGAAGCGAAACGTTTTTACGCCGATCCTTTATGTGACGCGATTGTGCGTTAATAATTATGATCCAAGTAAGCGCGATTGTAATTTAAAGTTGGACGGAGCTTTTGATGGTGTACGATGTACGCAATTCAGAAACTGGGTTATCGCGGCGTGATAAAATTTGAAAACGGTTCGAGTTGAAATTGTTCTCCTACCTCAATTTTCAATCGAATATCTATTTTGATTTTTTAGAGTTTGCAAAAATTTTGAAATTGTCAAGTCTTTTTTTTTTGAAATTCTAAATAGGAAATTATTTTTTTACTGCCTATTTAACTTATCGAAATTCTTTAGAATCCCTATAAACGTGAAAAAATAAAGGTTGAAAATAAAAGCAAAATTTTGACTCGAGTTGACTCTAATAAAATATACTACATCTAAACCCTCAATCCATAAAATTCACCTGTTCGTCTCGATCTCTCTCGTAACCTGAAAACTTTCGATCGTTCCTCATCTTATCTCTCGAGGCGCGTATGCGGGTGATAGGAAAAAATCCCATTTGAAATCCTGCGAACTAATTAACTCCGATCTTAGGAAGCATCAATAGCGGTTCTCAATCCCGCGCTAATTTTCCTGACGAATAAGAATGCCGTCGTAAAGCGCGGAGGAATGTTTCCGTGAAAGAAGAGCGCGGTCTTCGGTCGGTGCATCTACGCGCACACCTGTATGCATCCGGTGTCTTCACGCCGGCGCCGGCGTGGGTCGTCAATTCCCCGTTAAGGCACGCTTCGTTATCCTCGTTAGCGGAAAGTACGGGCGCGCGAGGGTGAATGCAGATTTCGCATCTCTAACGAGCTCAACGGACCGGATACCTTCGATTCCGTCTCGCTGCGAGCGGCTAAATTTTTTTTTAAATTATAATTCCATCATTAGATTAATTTTCGGACGAGAACGCGACGCGCCGCTAGCCAGATGCTCGCGAGTTACCGTCCAAATCTTCTCACGAATCGATAAAACGATGAGATAAAATGAGATAAACGCGCCGACGTTCTTGTAGCCGGGAAGAAGAATAAAGTTGCCGTTATTCAAAGAAAGGAGAAAAAAAGAGAGCGAAAAAAGAATAAGAATATTGACAACAAACAGTAGTATTTTGCAACTATCGGCGTTTAAACTTCTGATTCAATCAATGATTGAGCGAAATATTCGTACCTTTTATTTTTGATTTTTTGTGAAGCAACGAAATTGATACGGAAATTCATAGCGGAGAATTTAAATAACTAGGCAACCTGTCGACTCTGACATATGCAAAGGCGCGTATGTGACTGAAAGATAAAGAACTTGAAATACTACGTGTATGAGGTCATAGCTGGGACGCCTTTATACGGATGACGTTACTCGTCCCATACAAGCGAGGGAACTCGCGGTGAACTCGGATTTCTTTTCCTTACACTGACGGATATCCTGCGTAATTCACGTTTTCCTCAAAGCCCAAGAGAGGCACGGAATTTAGCTGCTATACACAGTTTCGCGGAAACGATTGCGCGCTCCCATTTTTGAAACACGTCTCTTCCGTTCGCGACAACACGCGACGCGTCGTTTCCTTCTTGAGCTAACTCAGCACACGGGTAATTAATGAATAAGGTTTTTGTAATTGAGAGAGAAGGTTAAAGTCCATGTTTTTTCATATCTATTTTTATCTCTATTTATGAATGAAGTTTTGTCCGCATTATGAAATCGATTCGTCGTTATCAGATAATTATTAGAAAGCAATTAAAGGTATTAAAGAGTCATCACGATGCTCGTCATGTATTTATATCGTCATGTATGAAACATAACGTAGATTTCTATATGATATTTCTATAAATATATGTACATGATGTTCTTAACATATATAAATCATAATTTTTAGCCATTAAAACCAGTATGTTAATTGCCACACTTAAATTCTAATGTGTATTCATGTGTATACAACTGCGTGCTTACGTTTTATTTATATTTTAAAAAATTATATCTTACATTGTACATTAAATAATTTTTGTTATAATTAGAAGATATCGATAACATATTAAAGATAATTGCGCGCGAGAAAATATAAATTTATTCGTAATCATTAAAAATAATAGGTTTAAGTAAACAAATTAAAATGAACATTGCTTTAAAAAATGCAAACTAAAATTACTCGCATATGAAACACATATGAATGCATAATTTTCCTTTATATTTTGTTACGCTGAATGTAAAAATGTAATCAGTTTTTCCATCTCGCTTTTCGTTTAAAGATTGCAATATAAAAAGAGTTGTCATTCCTTTATGTATTTAATTTTAATTTTACAAACCATTATTTACTTATAATGCTGTCACATTTATTCCCGAAGAATTTAACTTAATATCAGAGCAAATTAATATATCAGAATGAAAAGAAACATGTTTGAATTCAGCATAAAAGACACCACTTTACTCCAATAAAAAATTGTGTCAGAGAATGAGACCAATTTGCTATATTTAATTAATGTACTCACGATATTGAAAACGACTTCGAGATGCTGCTTCGAGTTTTGCTCTGGGGTTTATCGTTTCGTTGAGAGATTTCTCAAACTCGATGGTGGTGCATGATAACTCGCACTTCAGAGGGTCAGCAAAAGAGTGGGAGGGAGGGATGTAACGCACCCTCTACGCGCGGTCACGCACCCCGTTCACCTTTCGCTCGCACGAGATGCACTTGGAGAGGCCAGAATGATACGAGATCTCCGAAAGCGTGTAATTTTTGCGAGCTGTGACGGGAGGAGATAGTAGCACTTTGGAAGATGCGGAAGATGGACTCTCTCGCTGGCGAGAAACGGAGAACGGCGACGACGAACCGTCGGTCGCGAAGGGTGGCGGTCGACTGAGGCGCCTGCCTCGACGTGCACTCGCGCTCGGTGCACCTCCCGCGTGGCGGACACACGCGTGCCTGCGTGGCCGCGTGCGTGTGCGAGGGAGGACGCGCGCGCAGGATGGCGGATGCACCTGCACAATTATTATCCCGTTGCAACGCGCCCGAAGTTTCCGAATTTCTAAATCTCCCGATTTTTCGGAGTATTTCGCACACGCGAATGGAACTTTATTCGGGTTTCTCGAATTTCCCGAGAAAAGTGTTGTTACAATTGTCCGGATGAGGTATATTGTGCTTGAATTATTACTCCTCGTGATGAATGAAATTTGAGACAAAAGAGCTGCTCGTCTGACAAATCTCGTTACTGAAATTGAAAGCACGTTTGTTGATCAATTTATTATTAAAGGAACATTTGGAGACTATTATCGTTGTTTGCACGTGTTGCATTTATATATCTCGAATAGTCGAGTGTGTATTGTACGTATTTTGAAATTGGGGTCAAATGTGTCCGTGACATGACTATGCAGAATGCAGAGCAGAGTGCAGGCAACCTGGCGAAACACGACGTTGTAATAATCTCTAGAAATTGCGTGTGTCATGAGGTATTTGTTTTTCTAGAAGTAAATTGTTTTCACATCTGACTCATTATCTCGTATAAATTGAACGTAATGCACAAGTATCTATGAAGAATTTTCATACAAAAGGAACGTTTTCAGGCGCGATTTGAAAACTCGCGAGCAAATCTCGCTGCGAAAACATCTTTTATCTCGTTTCTCTAGCATAATAAAATACTGTGAATGGAGTTGATAAAAGCCATTTCCGTAGCGATCCTCGTTATTAGTCAAAAACGATGACAGAGGACAGAAACAGCGTTTCGAGAAACAATATAGAAACGTACGCATTCATGTAAAATGTAAAGGGTAGTCCGCAGATGGTTTCCTTTGACAGCGGATTTCTAAAGATAACAGTAAAAAGAATAGAAAATCATTTACATATTGAAACATAAATATTCACTTAATCATAGTTGACTAATCGAATTAATTAAGCTCTGAAAGAGAAAAGACTTACAATTTTGATATTTGAACAATTTTCTTTTTTACGCCCATGTGAAATTCAAAGCATATTACATTCAAAGGTTCGTTTCATAATTTACACCGCGAGGTTTCCGAATTTTTCTGTCTCCGGCATCAGCAGCATTTTTTCCCTCAATTTTTTCCGGTTTTTTATCAATTATCGATGCTAGAAATGGCAAAAAATCTCGATTCGCGAGGCGTCACTTTCAGTGCTGCATGCTACCTTTACATTCGCAAACGCGAAACTTTTCAACGCAAAATTCAACGGTAAAGGGATATTTCTTCGTTCCTGTTTTATTTGTTAAAAAACATTTGAGATATTTGGACTGAAGGGAGATTGCCATTTTTTTATTCAATTTCTCGCGCATCGCGAATTTTAAATATAAAATGAGGAGAGGAAATAAATCGGATTGCGCGAATCCTGTCTTTATGAAATGGTTGATTTCGATCGGCGAAATAATGCGAGTGTATCGCGCGTAATTTAAGCGACAAATTCTCCGTCCCTTCTGTGAAAGGTTTCGTTTTCGGGCTATAAATCCATCGGAGCATTTACCGTGCACATCCCCGTCCGATCGGATCCGCGAGCCGCGTTTGATTCTCCCCCGACCGATAAATCACAGTTATTCGTGTGCGTTGGGTTTCGATGCGCTGTTAAGCGGTGTCTCGTATATCAGGCATTAAGAGATTCAAGATTTGTGGAATACAAAGCGACGCGGGAATTTGCAGAACGGAGAGATCCATTCTCACGATATAGAAGACGAGACGAGTCGCAATTACGAATGCGCAGTTAAATACGCGTATCGTTCTACATATATATCTCGTTAAGCTACAGTGGATTATACTAATGGATGATTTTACGACTCTCGACTTATCTCCGTATAATGTTCAACTTATGTTTCATTTATCAATAATTTTACATTACGTTTTTATTTCTGATGACATTTGAAATGCGACGAAGATATCTTCATTTACATGCGGCCTAAGGCAAATAGAATTGTTTATATTCCTTAATCGATTATTCATCGATCGGCGGAAGTGCTGTTAATTATGATGTTTGAAAGAATAATGCGTAGTGTGCGTCATACGTTAACATCACTGGACGATTGGAAAATGCGAACACAATGTGCATTGCACATATATAGTCGTGTGACAATTAAATTGCGAATATCTGGAATGCTCTTGCCTCCATTCTCATCGTTTGCCGCGAGTTTTTGTATTTCTGGGCGCACGAGTCGGCAACAATAATGCCTTTAATTATCGTAGGCAATTAAAATTGTTTCTCGCGAGCCGATTAAATTGCGCCAACGCTGAATGTCGCGCGTTGATTACTATACTGGCTGATTAATGGCAGACGAAGAACAGTGAAAAAGCGCGAAGTCTGAATTAAAAAGCCCTTTATTAAATGTTAATTCGAATGGATGCAAAATTTATCTCGGCATATAAAGATGTTTTATATCTTTGAAAATAATAGAGGTCTCTTTGACATTATTTAACTTATAAAAAAACAGGCTGATTTATAAAAAAAGAAAAAGCACGTCACACAATTTTCTAAAGTATTATTCAAGTTTATTTTATGTTATACGATTGTTATTTCTCTTTCTCTCTTTTCTGTTTTCTTTTATGCATGGCGCAGGAAAAATACACGCGTGCAGCGTTTCTTCAGCAAACTAGAACATGACAGGATCAGCAAGTATAATGTAAATGAAATTTCCTAATTGGAGATAAAAAGAGAGCGAGGAGAGAAATATTGCGGCGAAAAGATAATAAAGACTAGACTAGATAAGGAAAAGATGTAAATGCAACCAACGTGTCAACACACACCGCCATGAAAATATGTAAAGAGAATGCAATATCTTTTTAGACACAGAGGACGTTATATATTTTTGTTAGATTTTTGATGTCGGTTAAATGTATCTGAGCCTTCACGACACACTGAATCTTTGTAATAAAGTAACGAAAGTAAACATAACGTAACAAAATATTTCAAATAGACAAATCTAAATTTATAAATAATATAAATAACATATTAAATAAATAATAAAATATATTAAAACATCATGTATTGATTATCTATATACGATATTGTTAAAACTCTTGAGAGAAAAATTATTTCAGATTCTCGAGTCTAATTTTTCTTTTACTTTTTCGAGCTTTTTATTTTAATATTTATTTTAAACAGTCAGATAACTCTTTTTTAACTATTTTATTTATAATTTTATTGGAAACTCTTCTTTTAAAGCAGCACTCAAAAAAATATTTATGTATAAAATTACATGATTAAGCTAGGTTTTTTCCGACCCAGCATAATCATGCAATATTGATACTTATATGGAAGATTACAGATTATATGTAATTTTATATGAAATATATTTCATATGAAATACATGTAATTACACATAGGAAATGTTAGTAATGTATAAATGCTATATAAAATACCTAATGTTATAAATAAAATAGATAAATACTTATAAAATAAAGTTCTAATAAAGTAAAAATAGTAAATTTAAAATTACATATGATTTTTGCATAAAAATAGTAATTTTACCTATATTTTACATTTTTACATTAATATGTATTTTTACTTTAAAACAAATGGAAAAAAATTACAGTGATAAGCAAGTAACTTTTCCAGTTCTGAACTAATAATTTCCATGTAAAAGTATATGGATTTTTTTCAGTAAGTATATGGGAAATTATTCGTGTACTGCTTTGAAATAAAGAGTTTAACTTTTATATAAATTAAACTCATCGAAATCCTTTAAAATCCCTGAGAATATATAAACGTGAGAAAATTGAAGTTGAAAAAAGGAGCAATGGAGCAAAGCATGGATTTGGATTGGGAATGAAATTTGCAGAGGAAAAGGGAAAAAATAAACATTCGTATGTTATACAAGTAGACGTGAAATTAAATATCGATAAGGAGGATATTTCTAACTTTCTTCAATATTTTCTCTGAAGAAGAAGAAGAAAGAGATTTCATTCTCTCTCATACTATATCAACATTTTTTCATCTCTCACAAAGATGGATTAGGGTATTATTAATTAATTCTTAGCCGAGTTTACGATTGCCGTATACAAGAAAACTCAGTAGAAGTCAGTAGAAGACTCATTTCTTTACGAATACATTTTTTCTCAGCATGCGTACGTATTATGCATAATTTCCGATACTTCGCGGCTAATCTGCTGTGGCCGTAATATAAGTGCAGTGCAACTGAAAGATGAGATATAATATATACTTTGTACGTACAAGTGTCGAGATAACCGTAATAACGTCTGAGAGAACACAGAGCGACAAGTCAGTATATTTTCAAAAAAGCCTCAGCCTTGTTCCCGTAAGATATATACGCTGTTAAGAAATCGTGCATCGCGCTTTAAAATTTTATCTGGTAAAGGATACTTTGTCAGATTTCGCAAAAATCGCCGGGATTTCGTACGCAGCCATAGCTGAATGATTTTCGTCATGGACAAAATTCACTTATCAGTAAGTAATGGTACGCAACCGCGTCAGTGTTAATTGCATTTAGGGTTCATACACGTGGGTAATATGCGGTACGAGCGATTTAGTAGTTAAAGCCTTCGGGGTTTTGCTAATTGGAGTGAAACCACGCGTTAACGCAGCGTTTCTCAACACGGTCCAGGAGAAGGGGTCTAGTGACAGTTCGACTGAAAAATAAATGTACGACCTCGTTATTATTGAACAATAACGTCTAAATTTTTGCAAGATTTGTATTGCACATTAAAAAAATATATGTATAAGAACAATCTCGGTTATAAGAATCTGCGACGGATCTCTCGTTGATGTCTTATTCTTATTATCTTTTCTAAACGGACCACTTTTTCGCCTGTCTGTGACATAATTTTTGGAAAATGCGTTTTACCTCTGAAATAATAAGGTAATGCGATAATACCTCTTCGCTTCTCGTCGGAAAATATGTCGCTAATCGGACATGACTTTGTTTCACCGTAATAAGAGACTCGTGGCGTGTCGCTTTCATGAAGATTAGAGATTGCTGGAGAGAGAAAAGGTGGGAGGGAAAGAGAAGCGATGCTTTTTGCCTTCGTCGATGGTTGAAAGAAGAGGAAAATGAGATGGTTCGGAAGGAGCGAAGAGGGTAAAAGCAAACGGGCAAGCGAGCACTGCTTTCTCAGCCGTAATATTGGAAGTTTACGAGGTTTACCGTAATCGAATCTCGTTATACGACCACAGAAGGCCTTTGGCAATCTGCTCGAGGACCCGGTGCGACATCGGCATTGCATGTTACGAAAATGCGAGTCTTCATCGGAGATGATACAGTTCGATACGATGCTTTAAGCTTAAACCGATGAGGATTTACGATACAAATGTTGCACGAAAAAATGACGTCACTCAATTCGAGTCACGTCAAAAACATTTATCTGCTACGGTTGCGTTCTTTTTTATCAATGAAATTAGGAAACATTCTTTCGCTTTTTAATATAATTGAACTGTGATTGACATCTGACAATGAGTAAAAGCGGTATAATTTTGGCATCACGATTATGTCACGATTACGCCATTATGCCTGATGTATGGCTGCGCACGTCAAATTCTTCAATGATTGATTTCTCTTGAATTGCAGGCGCATATCGAATATATATATATATATATATATATCTGTAGTTAAGGTCTGAGGCAAAGATAATGAGCGGAACGCGTGGTAGTTGCATTAACCTCGTCTTATGCCGGCTAATTAGTTTATGCGCTCATCAAGGAACTAATTATCCGTTCAGAATAGACTTTCATTTACGATCAATTTCAACTGTGAAAAGTGCGATGACCGTCTGAAATATAACGTCGGAATATCTTGGAAGTTACAATAAAGTTGTATTATTTTAATAAAAAATTCATTAAAATTTTATTCAGAATTAAGTACACGCTTGACATTCAGTTAAAGTTTGATGATTTTTTAATATGTTTGTATCGAAAAAAATCTAATAATTTAATTGCAATTTTTTCATTTATTCATTTCTGCGTCTCTGTCTCTCTGGACTTTGATATCTTCTATTTCTTATGTAAATATTTGTAGTAAAGTATAAAAAGAAGACGTTTTAACGTGTAATCTTATCTAAAATAATTTTAAACAAGAGTTTTCCGATAATCAATACCTATAATCGATTCGATGTGTTGTAGATAAGATATGTGTTAAAATGGTTTTCTCCAATCTATGAATCATGCATAAGTAGTCGCGTAACGTAAAACGCGAGCTTACAAGCCTTGAACAAATTAAAAAGCGCCATGAAAAAAACTGCACCGTGCGATTTTAATTAGGATTACCGTGGTCGCCGAAAGTTTTCTTCATTATCGTCGAAAAAAAGCTTACTCCTCCGTTTTTCGAGACGATATTAATGTAAAATAATGTGCATGCCGCACGCGAGAAAACTAGCTGCCTGGCCATATATTATGCATTATATGAGAATCAAGAGATGAAAGTCTATGCGATACGTCGTATGTATATGTAGATATACGAGTTTATAAACAGTATGCGTAGAGAGAGAGAAAGAGAGAGAGATCGCATAAAAAACTTTTTTTCGCGAGACAGTTGCTATGAATGGCGATGTGCAGGATGAATAAATAATAAATCTTTTTGCTCGTATATTTGCTTATACATTTAGGCAATAAAATATACATATACAAAAAACGAATAAAACATGATAGTAATTTTAAATATATTTTTATTATTGATCAGTTACAATGTGGCTTTCCAATTTTATAGTTAACAAGAGATGAGAATATGTCCGCAGAAAATAAATAAAACTACATATATATACATATATATATATATATATATATATGTGTGTGTGTGTATATATAAAATGTATTTTATTTATATACATATATGTAGTTTTTATTTCAATTCTCAATATTTACATCTCTTTTCCCTTCCAAGAATTCACAATAGTAAGTACGTGCATAATAAACTCAGGCAAACCCCAACGTTTGGAGATTTTCTAAAGGTTTTCAAAGCCATACAAAAGAGTTTTCTGAAAATATAAATAAGGAGAATACATAAAAATGCATATTGGATGTTGTTTAAAATACCAGTTCCCCATTTTATATAAACTATATTTACAATTATCATATTTCTATCACTTTTATGTTACATTGATTTCTTTTGATAAATGGACATCTGTTTTTCTCTTTTTTCGTATTATTTTATTGTATTTGGATTTTTCACTTTTGGTATTAATGCCCTTTATATAATATATAAGTCAACCGATAAATCGCAAATATTTATTTAATAATTGTACAAATGCAGGTTAAAGATTATAAGTTCCCAAGATCTCGGCAAGAGATATAAAAAAGGAAAGACTCTCTAAGCTTAATAATTAGAATGGAACTAGGTTTATAACGCGTTATGCGACGCGGAATAATTTTTCTTTATATGATGTCGTGCGATATAGTGGTAAGAGATACAGTTGCGTAAATTATTGCTCGTTTAAACCGAGAAAATTCATCTGTAATTTCGTTTAATTCCACGGCCTTTTTTCTATAAAAGATACATATTTTCTATTGTCCGCCGGTGTAATGAAAGTATCAAGAGTGAGACAGTATCGCGGAAAAGAACATTCTATCATTAAAGTAGACTACTTTTATGCAATTTCATTGCGTAGCCAGCGGTCTAAGACTTTACAGTTAGATCTGCACTCTTTATCTTGACGCGTAAGAGAAGCGCGGCCAACGACAAGAAGGACACGGAACCTTGAGAATTTTCTAGCTTATTGTGTGATTCGCGAAAGAAATGAGGTCTTCCCGGCGTATCACAACGGAATTTCCCACAACTCGGCCCACTTTTGCATAATGTAGGAACACACCTTCCGAAGGAAGGATCTTGAACATCGCGTTGAATCGCACAATGCAATGTAAAAATTCCTATTCCGGTTATTTAGAAAATATTAACTACTGTTCCGACAACATTACGCGGCCACTTTTTACCTATTTCGAGTAAAAAGATTAAAATTTATGTATACGTTTTTTTTATATACATACATTATATGTAAAGAATTAAAGTCTGCCATGTATATTCAATGATGATTACATATGTATGAATATTAATTTATAGATCATTTAAATCTATTGCTATATTAATTGTAATTATACATAAAAATGCAATGAACTTAAAAATTCTCGATTAATATGAAAGAGGTACATTAATATATTAGATATAAATTTCAGGTAAAATATTTTGTAAAACATCTATTATATATTTTCTTTTATTGAAGTTTTTTGTAAGTGTTACAATGGAATTTTCTCTTAAATATTCCGCGTTTTCTCATCTTTACAAAGGATAAGAAAGTAGAAAAAGATAATTTAGTTCTCATACAATACTTGAAATAAGAATGTAAATAATTTTTGATATATACGCAATTAAAAGCAATATAATTGTTCACTTGTGTGTACTTACCATAATTATATTTGACACAATTATAATTGCCTATACAGTTTATCGTCTCGAAATCTAATGATCTGCTTCCACAAGTATTGCTGTCATGCGAATCATAACATTTCCATATCTCTTCTATTTAGAAAATAAAAAATAAAAAATTTCTATACATTTTGAATAAATTTATATATATTTTATTGTCGAAAAATTGTATAATTACCTAAGTAAACAATAGCGAATATAATTAATGATTACCAATATAGTAATCGCATTAAAGCCTTATCTTGTCATCTTTGAATCTGAATTAAATTAACTGTTTCACAATTTTGAGAAATTAATCTTTTCTCCAAAATTATCATTTACATCACTGATTATAATAAGTTATCTAAAATTATCTTGCTAAATTAATTCAAGGCCTGTGTTATCAACATTATCATAAACGCAAATCTTGAAAACAATATTTTTATATTATTTTCATATTTTTATTAGAATTTTATTAGAAAAAAAATATTTAACTATTATATAGGCACAATAACAAATATGACGCAAATTAAAAATGTTCTGTCTAATTGCTATTTTCTCAACACATTCTCGAAGAAATTTGATTAAAAAATCTTAGAAAATACTTTTTTATAGACACAATATTTTTTTGTGCGATAAAAATACATTTCAGATTCCTGAGATTAACAATTCTGGAGAAATTTTTTTAAAGTTATTTTTTTATTATTATTATTACATAAAAGATTAGAAATAGTTTTAAAAATAAATCCACATAAATAAGCAATATAATCAATATAAATCATAGATGAAACACAATTATTATATTTATAAAATAAGATAGAACACATAAGTTAGTATATACATACATAAGAATGTATTTTATTTTTAGCTGTATATTTGACATACATATTAATATGTAATATAATAATTAGTATGAATGCAATAGAAGAACAATGTAGAGCTCTCTATTCATTATTCTTTTTTATATAAGGGCGTATGATATAATATTATAATACAAATAGATAAATTAATAAGAACCTTTAAGAACAAATCGAATCGCCCAAAACGATACGAGACACCCTAATGTTGCCATGCTGATACTTATCATATTAGCCGCATTACAGTAGTCTCCGCTACACATTTTACAATTTCCACTTTCTACTCGGTAAGGTTGTACAAGAGGAATTTCCACGTACCCACAAAGGCGAGCCAGAATTGTAGTGCCGTTACCCAATTCTAGAAAGAAATTTTATTTATTATTAATAATTTTAATCACATATTATGTGTTACATTTATAATAGATAAAGCATCGAGGAAAGAGAATATTATGCTATTAATTATAAGAACGCAATGTATTATAACGATTTCTGATTAATAGGAAAGAGACTACATACAATTTTCAAAACTTTTATATAAAATGTTTCATATAATATAATATAATACATTAAATATAAGATTATTGTAATTTTTTACACATATTATATTCAAAATTTGCCTCAAGTAAATTTCCTTATTAGATTAAAATATTCGATATATTTAAAACCAAATATACATAAAAGGAAATGTATATAATATTTTAATTCATTTATGTCTTATCTTAGATACTTACTATAATTACAAACGCCACAATTAAGATTAGGGGGACATTCTACTGTTTCGTTCGCCATAGGCCCGCTTGTACAAGTTTGGCTGGTTCGCGAATCGCATACATAACATTTTGTTGCCTCTCCTTAGAAAGAAACGAATAAAATAATAAATTTTTAATAAAAATATTTTTGCATATAACTGCATGTTGAATTAATGAAGTCAAGAGCAAGAAACATGTTCACGCTTAGATTATATTAATTATAATTATATTTAATATAATTATAATTATAATTATACATTAAAATGATTCTTTCGATTATACGAATATTAAGCTTAACAATATCTCTTACAATTAGTTTATTAATTTTGATAATTATGCAAATTTATGACGACTCGTAAGAATCAGATTTTATGATAGATGTTACGTAATCCTTGCAATCTGACTTTTCTAAATTCTTGAAAGTTTGTTATTTACAAAATTATGAGCATAGTATGATCAAATAGATTGTCAGAAATTTATATTTGTGACGTACCAGATTGAAGAATAGTAACTGCAATTATTAAAATTGCGATCACAAGTGAGCGAATTTCCATTTTTGATGCGCTTTGGTTTACGTCTAATCAACGACTGTCTCTCATACCTGAAAAAATCTAAAATTTGCACCAGCGTTATCATCATTTTTTAAAATAGAACCGATTGCGAAGAACGATAGATTATCGCGAACTTGGTATCTATGTGATATCACGTCTTCATGTGTTTAAAATACGAAAAATAAATGATAAAAACTAATTTATCAAAAGTATCTTTGATTCTTTGATATATTTTTCATTATATAAAAAATGTCATTATATAAAAGAAATTGCCTAAAATTATTTTACTAGCAAAAATCAATTTTTATATAAAAAACCTGCAACACACACACACACACAATAAATGTAATACAAATAATAATATAAATTTAAAAAATTTCTTATATGGATTAGTTTTGCACAATATATAAATATTCTAATTATTTTTTAGCACTTCTAACAAATATATTGAGATATAATTGTTCACTAATTGTATAAAAATCTAATTATCTATTAACAAAATTCTAATTATCTATTTATGAAAAAATAAAAATTTAAAAGATTAAATTTGAGGTGTATTTGTGTGCATTTAATTTTCTCAGTAGTATTTAGAGTATTCAAAATAATGTGTGTAGGTGTGTGTGACTTTTAATGTGGAATGAAATATTACACAGCTGTTCATTGCTTATCGAGTGTTTGCTATTGAAAAATATCTTTATTTTAATATGAACAAACCACTAAAATAATTCTACGATCGATAAGCAACTTTTCTTAGGAAATATCCTTTTTATCATATTTTATTTTATAATAATCAAAGTTATATTTTGCAAAACAAATCTATTTTCGTTATTTTCAAATATTTCTTAAATTAAGTATAAAATAGATTGAAAAATATAAATCACGATAAGATACCGTGAAATTGATTTCTGTTAATTGATGGACGGCATTATCCACGTAATCGTAACACAATTCCATTTACTGCATCCGGTGTCGTCATCGTAGATGGGCGGGACTCTTAAATATAGAGAGAGCTGGCGCGAGTGAGAAAACTTAACAGTAAAGGAGAAAATTGCTAAAATATCTACCTGTTGATTGAATGCATGGGTGTTTGCAGAGAGGGGAGGAGACAAGAGGGGGCATTTATTTCCCCCACCCCCTAAATCAGTAAAAAAAATTAAAACTGTACTCTGCTTGTGAATAAACACTGAAATTTATCTGCAATTTTATTTAATATCCCTAATAACACAGATATCCAAAAGATATTCAAAGGATATTCACAGAGGACATTGAATGTCCTCAGGATGTTTTCTGAACGTCTTCGGGATACGTGTGCTGTTAGGGATAAAAATATTAAAATAAAATAATAAAATATTAAAATAAAAAAATAATTAAAAAATTGAATTTAAAAAATCAAGGAAGAATAATATAACAGGAAAAAAATTAATCATGCTCCTCCCTGGAAAAAATTCTGCGGACGCCCATGATTAAATGCAAACCTGTTCAAGTTTTTTTTATACATGAATACGAAGGATACCTACGACATCGATTTGTAAAAGCGGCATAATTATGCGCTACTAAATAAAATGCGACAGTAAGACAAACTACTAAATATTGCGTCTTGGAAAAGAAAAAAATGAATATTACGTGAAATTTAAGCAAATTAAAAGCGTATGATCGTTTTTGTAAAGACAACTAGATTCTTTAATAATTTAATTAACATTAATCAGGATAATTGTAATATACAGAGGATAAATATGACATTTATTAAATATATATTTTTTAATAATAAACTTAATAAATGTAATCCTTTTATATGAAATCATAAGTATACAATCATTTTATTGGAAAATCTTGTAGAAATTTATCACTAGTAACGCCAATTAATCACTTATTTCAAATACTTAAAATACTGATATACAGTAATTTAAGTACTCGAAATAAATGATTAAGTACTCGAAATAAGTGATAAATTGGCGTTACTAATGATAAATTTCTATAAGGGAAATATTGAAGCGTAATTTTTTAGCGTCATAATTATCTTGATTGCAACTTTTATTTTCTTATAATTCAGTTACAGAATATAGTTCATTAAAATATCTACATGCACAGACTCTACTTATATGAATAACAAATCCAATAATACAATAAATAGATTTATTCTTTAGAAGAATATATATACATATGTTTAATATTAGAAATATTGTGCTTTAATGTAGTTTTGCTTATTGACGAGTAACGCTTAAGTCGACAAACTTAGAGCAAATTGCGACATGGATGACATCTTTATAAGCGTAAAATCCGTAAAACTGAAAATGTACTTACATATACATCTAGATATAGTTGTTCTCTCGAAACCATAAAAGTTCCGTGATCGTTCTACCATGATGGTTATATAAAACCCTTGCAGTAGTGTCCAATCTGTTTAACGTGTTTCTTAAAGGTATATGTAAAAAATTCTCAAGATAATGATTTTTATATAACACATAATAGAGAGAGAGAGAGAGAGAAAGAGAGAGATAATTTTATTTAAAATTTTTGTTATTGAAACTGTTTAATAATTTTTTAATAAATCTTGCTATTTTTATTTGTAAAATTTATTTAACATATTTTTGAATTCTCTAGCCGGAAGATTGATTATAAAATTATTGCTTATGAAAGATTTAAAATATAGAAGATATATATTATTTAAACATAACATGTTATGATGTAAAACTTATTGATACGAATCTGTAACAATAAATACAATCACCCACGATAACATCAGCCATGACAAGGTTACCATATTAATTGATATTGCGTTAGCACTATTACATTTATCTGACTCGCATTTTTCCATTTTACATTTTTTTTCTTCAGTATCATCAGGACATTCATGGGAAGAAAGAACACATCCACGCTCGACGATCACAGTGTCGTCAGAATATCCTATAAAAAAAATATATACATATATATTAAATTACTATAAAATTTTCTTCTTATTGTTATGTAAAAGATTATATATATATATATATATATATATATATATATATATATATACATATATCTTTGCAAATTTTGGGGAATTAAAATGTTAAAATTAATTAAGAAACTTGATTCAAATAAATATTTTCACATCTGCAAGAGCAAACATTATTAAAAAGAAAATCTAAAGCATTTTTATGATAAACATTTGCAAAAAGAATTTGGAACAAATCTAATTTGAAGCTATAGAATATTATTTTCTTAAATACTTACGATATTCTGTCCTAGCACAATGCCATTTTTCTTCTACTTCATCTACTTGTGGATTTATTTGAACATTACGAAAAATACTTCTACGTGACCTGTAGTCAGCTGCTTTATATGGTTCAACTAAAAAAAAAGAAAAACATTAGTAAATATTGTATAGTTAAAGTATGGTTCTAAGTTGATTAAAAAAAAACAAGAAGACTAGTAATCCAAATTTCAAGGAATAGAAATTAATTTAAAAAGATATTAAAAGATATCAAATAATTTGTTTAAGCTGATGTTATAATAATTAACAATTTAAAATCAAATTTAATTATATTAAGAATCAATGCAATTTAATTATTTGTCGGATCTATATTTTTCTCTCGCATTTATTTATTTATTTCCGTTGGAGGGTTAGGGGGTTTTTGAAATTAAATCTCAAGCATGAGATTATTTCAAATTTTAAAGTCTTGGTAGTACACCGAGAATAATACGTGCCTTGTGCACGGTTTATTTCCAATGAAAACTTAGTTTCGTTGGAAATGTACGCAGCAACATCCGCGTATGGCTCTTTACGCCTTTTTTGTGATTTAGATTTATATTTAATTATTTGTATTAGTATAAATAATTTGTCAAGAATTGCTCGCATATGAAATCTCTTTTCATGCAATGCAATGCAATAGAAATTTTGAAAAAATATATAAAAAATTTATTATAAATGCTATTAATATAATCTGTTAAAAATATCTTGAATAATCTAAAAACCCTTCTATTTCTTTTAATTCGTAATTAATCATTAAACGGTTATACATTCACTGTAATAGTTTTATATTACATTTAATTTAATTATTATTTTTAAGCTGTTTATTATTAGACTGCTTAATTAAATATACTTAATGTAATATATTTTAATTAACATAAAATTTATTTTTTAGGCCTATTTTTTACCTATATATAATTATATTTTTATTTTCTAAATCTATATTATATTTTTTACCTATATCTAATTTATTTTTTACCTGGAATAGTGGTCGACGGCGTGGTCGACGTCGTCGTCGTCGGCGTTGTCGTCGGCGTCGTCGTCGGCGTCGTCGTCGTCGTCGGCGTCGTCGTCGGCGTCGTTGTTGGCGTCGTCGTCGGCGTCGTCGTCGTCGTCGGCGTCGTCGTCGGCGTCGGCGTCGTCGTCGGCGTCGGCGTTGGCGGGTTCGTCGTCGTCGGCGTCGTCGTCGTCAGCGTCGTCGGCGGGTTCGTCGTCGTCGGCGAGCTCGACGGGTCCGTCGTCGTCGGCGAGCTCGACGGGTCCGTCGTCGTCGGTGGGGTCGACGGGTCCGTCGTTATTGACGGCGGCGGGGTTGTTTCAGTCGGAGTCGGTTTACTTGTCGATGTTGGAAACAAACATTCTTCAACTTGCATTTCTGAATATGGTCCATTCGCGCAATTGTTGTCTTCCTTTGAGTTACATGTATAACAACGCAATGCCTCCCCTTGAAAATGATAAAGCATCAGATTAATAAAAGTATTTTCGCATATAACTATCTATTAAAATATAAATGTCATTGTTAAATAACTAATTAATAAAATAATTTTTTAATGTACTAATACATTTTGATAAAATATTTTATTTTATTAGGCTTTTAAATATTATTTGCACAATAATTGATGACACCTCTGTCAATTACCAAATAAATTTTGTTATGCACAGAAATATATATTAAAAAATTATATTATGTAGTACACTACACACACACACACACACACACATACAATTTGTTGTGCAATTTAATTTTTTAAAATCAATTTTCTGGAAAAACTTTTAATAATTGAATTATTAAGGATTGTATATCGCTCACCTGAATGGAGAATAGCATATGTAACTATAAAAATGAAAATAACAAGAGAACGCTTTTCCATCTTTGATGTGACTTGATTTAGGTTGAATCAACGACTGCCGCGGTACCAAGAAATCTAGATGTACTCTCTGTTGAACATTATTATCGATATTCATCATATAGCTAACCGCGATAAACGTTAAATTATCGCAACTATAGCCGCCAATGTTATTATCTCCACGATGCGATTAAAATGCAAAAATGAATTATTATCAGGGATTCATTATTTTCAATACTTTATACTTTTTATAGCCATGCTTGTCATATGAGGAAGAATAGCTTAGAAATATTTTATTAATATACATATAATAAATATAGTAATAAATTATAAATAGACAAAATAAATTATTTTTTTATGGTGCTACTTTTTTATTTTAGAAAATTTTATTAAGGTTTTTTATAAAACAGTTCTCTACATTAATTTTGCAAATTTTATAAAATTAATAGAATTTATTAATTATATTTCTAGAAATTTTTTATACTAGAAAATAATTGTAATAAAATATATTTGACACATCAGATCATAAATGTACACTAATATTCTTATATAGCAAATGTTTCGTTATTTAAATCTTAAGTTTCAATGTTCGCGTATGCGTATATTATATGTCCAATCAAAAACATAGATTTAAAAATTGAAATCAATTTGTCTCTCGTTCAATTAAATTTAAATTTTTAATTGATTCTTGACATATGCGACAATCAGACTTCTACTAAAATGACTTATCCAAGTAAAAATTAATTTCCATTTATGTGTATGTACACTACGATTTTTTCGAAAACAAAGCTTAGAAGAATCATTTGAGAAATAAGCTATCATTACGCCATCGATGGCAAATGCCTTGTAGGAAGTTGATTTATTTCTTTTTCGTTCGCAGCGATTTCGCTATCGAGGGATTGTACCCATTCAAGATTTTTCAATTTCATTTAAACGTCTATTGATCGAAGTCCACAAAGTATACTTTCAACTTTTCTTAGTCATACGAACAATATGCGACAAAATAATCTTGATTAAGATATATGTGTCAAATATTAATCTTAATCATACAATCCTGATTGATTAACTAAAGTATAAATAAGATACATAAGGCGAATAAATTAAATAAAACAGAAGTAAACATAACTAAAATTTATCTCGAATCTGAAACGCGATCAACAGACTTACAAATCGTTCGATATTGACATTGATATCACAATTATCGATATCTGAATAATTATTTACACGAACTGCGCAAAGATCGATATAATATCTGGGATATTATAATCTTCTTTTCGCAGAATAAATTTCTTTATCCGCGAGAAATGTATTACAAAAAAATAATTCTACATTAAATATAATCATAAGTATCATGTCCAATGAAAGCGACAAAATATCAACGTATATTACAGACGTGATACATACAAAATAACGTAATATTTATCGGGTTCTCCGATTTGAGGCCGAAAGTGCCAGAAACCAGTAGCAATTATTGTATACGTCGTACGATATATACGGCTCCTACCAGACGCGATAGAACCAGGGAGCGATTATGTCGTGAAAGGGGAGAACCCTGCACAAGTTGGGTGTCCGCTAGAGCGTAAAGGTATTCATTTCCCACGCTTAAGCTGCGAAATAACAGTGATGCCCACGGATGCTTGCGCATCCTTGCCGGTTCCGGTTGTTTAGCATCAACGTCCCTCCTGTTCCCGATGTTTTTTTCAAATTTCTCCTCTTCATGCTAAATCGACTGCTTTTGATCAGGCTAGAGCACGGAACAGTGACTTTTTTCTATTGTTCTTTTTTTCTATTTTTCTATCTCCTTCTTCTATTTACATAATCGACGTAGTCTTGAGACATAAACGTGAATAGCTTTTACAAACTCTCACTAATTCGGAAAATTAATTTTTTCTTAGAAAAAAAAATAAAATATATGTAAATAGAAAATTGTACAAGCAATTCGACAATTTTCCACGTATACATAATGTCCATTAATTATCAGATAATGCGATGTTTTACTTTTTTTACCTTTCTCTTATCATGTATTTATTGCGCAATAAACACGAGTTTTGGTGCATTTAATATCGATTGACATACGTCAATGCGTGTTCACTTGCAGCACACTTGTTGCAAAAATTGCACCGAGTGAGATAAGAATATCTAATCGGTATCAGTAGATGGATTTGTCGTTTAGCCGCGAAACGATCGTTCATATGTTGCAACGTTACGAAATGTAACTGATGCAAGTATACACGTCGAGCAAACTTATTTCATTAATGAACACAATACATCAGGATAATGCTCTACGCAATATTTCCGCGCCTTAATTATACTTTCTTCGATAAATCAAAGTCGTTTGGTTTTATATATGCAGCGAAAGCGCTTCTCTCTTAATGCATCCGAGTTCGTTGACACAGGCGGGCTGTTTACTTCGAGGAAGATGCAACGGTGTGTCAAAGAAGCGGAGAAGAGGGCACGAAACTCGAGTGCAGTAATGTACTTTCCTCTAGTGTACTTCCCCTATATTCAAACAACCTTCGTCAACATTTTCGAAAGAAAAAATGTCGCAAAGTGACTTATTAAAAGTTTATACGAGATTAATCTAAACGTAAAGGCGAGATAAACTTATCGATTCCTCGAAGGCCGTGATAATCGCCGTAACTTTTTAATTGACAATAATTGTGAACTAGAATTTGTGCGCATTTGTATTGATGCATTCAGAATGCGCAAAAGAAAAAAAGACGTAAAATATGTGTGAGTGCAGACAAATATATGCCGAAAAGTATGAGATTGATATGAGGTAAAGCTGTTGTGTATGTCAATTTTACGCTAATATTACCAAGAGGTGATACCAGAATATAATTATTGCGAAACAAGGATGTCGGGTTTGATAACTCAACGTTTCGTATCTTCGAATCTCTCAATGCTTCATAATTCAATACTTATCATACGGAAATGAATTTCAGTAAAAGGAAAGATACACGTGATAAGCGCATTTAGCAAATTTATCTTTTGTCAAATAAGCACGATTCTGACAATGTAATTCTCAATAAAGTTTTTAAATTTTATAATGCAAACGAAATAATGGAACTTAGTAGAAAAAAATTGATGGTATTTGAGACTCAAAATTTATCTCTTATCTTTGATTTTAATTTTTATTTTAACATTTATTTCAAAATACTTGAAACACACTCAGATTTTATATTACCTTCTTGTGCAACTATTTATTTACCTTACAATTTGGTTCAAAATTTGTTTTATCTTTCTCAGTGAAAAAAACCATTTATCTATTTTAAATTGATTTGCCTATTTAAGATAAAGTAAAAGCTTAATTCCTATATAAATTGAATCTCTCAAAATTCGCTAAAATCGGGAGAAAATTGAAAATAAGAATAAAGTTTCTGGAGTACACTCCATATCAATTAAGATTTTTCACATCATTTTTAAATACAATCATGTATCATATATTTTTATGATTCAAGTACGCGTAAATTATATTTTTTTATATATTTAATATCTGACAATGTTCTTTTGACACAAAAGTGACGTACTGCAATTTACCAATTTGATCGCCGACGCTTTTGAGACGCTGTGCAAAGAGAGGTTTGCAACTTAAACGAAAATTTCTCATTTCCGTAAGATTTTCCGATCTCTCGTTTACGTCGCACTGCCCTGAAAGAGGGCACTTCGTTTTAACAACAATCTCATTGGACAGTGAGAAAAGAGAACCTCATTTTTCCACGCTTCGTTAATCCGCGAAACCGCGCAACGGGCGAACGCTGAAAGAGATAGAGCGGCCAATCTCTCGAACCAGTTGTGAACTTAATCCCATGATCTTCCTACGAGCTTTGCACAATGCGCTCACCGTTAAATTAATATTAACCACCCGCGTTCGTTTCGTAAACATTCCTACGTATCACATTTCGCGAGATTCTCCTTTCGTTATCTCATTATTTCTCTCTTCAGCAATTTTCATATAGGTCTTATTGTTAACTATTTCTCATAATGATTCATAATTTTGAGCTACGTAACAATTATTATATTATTGTATAAAAGATAAGTATATAAATGAGATAGGAGATGAATATAAATGCGGAAAATAGTGATGAGAATCTTAAAATTAATATGAAATGAAAATAAAAACAAACAGAATACGAAATATAAAAATGATAGTGCTTCGTTTTTAAATTCTAGATTGAAACACGATTTTGGTAGAGAGAAACCTGAAGAATACCAGAAATATGAGAATAATACATCTGATAAAATTTAATCTCCAATGTGATATTGATATATTTTTATCACAATATCTTTGCATTTTATCGTTCAATATTTTTTACAGAATGTTTTCCTAAGAAAAGAGTAAGAAGAGAAAATTATATATATATATAAACTTTCTATACTTATTACAGATGTAATGCAGATTATTACTGTTATATTATTACATTTTATTAAATTGATAAAGGCCGTAGCCAGATAAAAAGATCCAATCTGTTTCCACGGATCATGCTCATTTTTTTTAATATGATTGCTATCAGTGTAACTCAAATTTAGCCAAATATTAGCTTTTAATATTGAACCGTTTTAATGTTAAAATAAAATTAAAAATTTTAAAAGTACAAAGGCGTATCATATTTAAAAAAAAAAAAAAGAATACTTTATTTTGTAAAAGTACCATCTACCCATTTTATTTCTTTCAAAAAATAATGTTTGATACTGAAACTATTTCAAGATTCTATAAAAAATTTTTCATCATTGTACTGGAAAAATATCGAGACTAATAAAAAGTAAGAACATTTATTTATTTTTTAAATCAATGTTTCTGTTATTATATTTTATATCGAAACGATTCCATATTCAGGGCTAATATTTGGCTAAATTGTAAATGACACTGATAGCAATCAAAGCAAAAAAAAAATTAGCATCATCCGTATGGGGGCAGATTGACCCTCCTTATCCGGCTATACGGGCTTTTGAAATTTGAATATGTATATAAAAAATATATTTTTGTTAAATATTTTTGAAAGTTTTCCTAATAGCATAAAAAGCACTTTCATATCTATTAAATAATTTATTATTTATTTGCAACTAAAGATAAAACTAAAATAAAACTTAAGAACAAATTAATTCACTTGCAAAATATTTTATTTTATTATTATAAAATATCTTAAAAAAACACAAGAAATTTTCTACGATGCTTTTATCAGGCAGCAATGTTATATCAGATAATATAAGATCTGCAATGTACTAGCTAAGTAATTTTGATAAAAGCGTGTATTATATGTTGCCTCTTTATATTTTTATTCTTTTATAAAAAAAAAAACGAAATTCATTATCGGAAATGTGTGCTGATGACAACATACATAACTGACCAGTAATCATTAAGAAAAAATATTATCGAAAACGATCCATAATGATTCATCAAAGTCTTAATCATCAGACAAATTAAAGATAAAGCTTTTGTGCTGCATTAACGCTGTGTTTTCTCCACTTGTAGAAATTTCTGCGTAATAAAGTAAAGCAATAATATTCCATTAACGTTACATAAGTGCATAATATAATATACATAAGATGATATTAATATATTAACAACTTTTAAAATTAAAACTTGTCTTATAAAAAGTAGTAAATAAGAAACAGTAATATTTAAAATAAAAAAACATTCTCCATATAACATATGTACATAATATCTTAAATTTTTAATTTAAATAGTTATTAATAATTTTAATATTAACACTGGTGTTACGCATAAGATAAAATGAATCGTAAATGCACAATCGCAGCCATGGGACGAGTCGCTAAAATCATTTATGATCAACGCACGTGAGTTGCGTAGGTAGATCTAAAAGTAGAATATCATTACAAAGATATAATTATCATTTATCACTAATGCACGACGGACACGCTACAATTTATAGTTTAATGATGATAGCGTGGTACCATTTTATGACATAAAATAAAATTTTGTTCAAATTTCGCGTTGCTTTATTATATACATTCGAACGACCATGTATTGTTTTTATCGTCGAAAAAAGCTGCCATGATAAATTATTGAAATTAATCAATATAAATATTGTTAACTTTCTATAAGAGAATAAAACGAGAAACGTAATGCGTTCAGAAATAATGCAAAATATGTGTGCGTGCATAAAATATAATCACGAAACACATCGCAAGAAATAAGGAAAAGTTAAAATATTATGAAGGACTTTTTTTTATTAAAATCTATGTAAAGAAGATATCGCAAAATGCCGATTTTTATGAATTTATAGGAATTATGAAAAAAGTGCCTTAATTTCGAGCGTATGTTTTTTGCGTAATTTTGTACATATTAAAATTCACTTAAGTAAAACATGGCATATGTAATCAAATATGAATGATAGAAGTAAAAGAGCTTATGTGACATTTATAAATAAGTAAAATATTTTTTGTGAAAGTGTACATTAATCGCAAGCATTATATCGAGATTTCGTTCGCATCTTTCTGATTTCCTATAATTCGCCGTAAGCTGGATGCAATATTCTATGGTAGAATATGTTAACTAGAACAATGGTTTTCTATACATGATTTTATAGTCAGCTGACTTCTATAATACTGACTTTAATGAAAATAGCTTGTATATGAAGCAAAGTAAATATATTTATTATTTATAATACTTTTTAATGGATATTTATTAACAACGTGAAATACATTTACGTTTACGTAAAAATAAATGTATGTATAAGAAGATGGAAACTATACGGTCCGATACAAAATATCCGATTGTTTATGTGACTTTTTACTCGTCTGGAAGAAAGGATTACGATATATCATGAAATGTGAAAAGCGCATTTTATGTGAATAGTGTAAGCACGTAAATGTTTAAACTTGTCCTGTGAACAAAATAATTTTTTAATACATGTTTAGGAAAATTATGTCGACGACACTCTCGCTCATTCATCACGAGATTGACCTGTAAACACAATCTTTTAGATAAACGTCAAGATAATATAATACAATATAATATTCCTCAAATATAAAAACAAAGAGATAAGTTATTTGCATGTGAAATATGTTAACCATGCAACATGTGTCTATCGCGACTGCTTGTCTTCTCTTCACGTTCGCTTATTTATTTATGAGCTAGGTGTTGCTTTGAATAATTTATTCACTCGAATATTTACTATCGTCTTCGACTTTCCGCTACTTTTTTGAATTCAATTTCAATGTGACGAGCAAATTTACTAAAAAATAAATTATGCATAGCGAATTGAGAATCGTTCTTTCCCCTTTTATTCGCATTTCTATTATTACCTATCGATATTCACACAACAAACATAATATTATTTCCGATCTACCATAAATGAATCGTCGAGATTGATTTGTTAAATTATAACAATTGTGTTTCTACAACTGATGTGAATAATGATAATTACAAATTTAAAGCAATACGAGATGATATAAAAGAAACATACAATTATTATAAAATTATTTACAAAGTATTGAAAATATATGTCTATATAACAGACTTTTTGTGTGTATTTAAAGATATATAGAAATGTATTTCAATAAATTCTTTAAATAAATCTAATATCACGGAATACAATTATTGATACCGAGGTTAAAGTTTACTTATGAAGTGTGTAGTCAAATTGCAATCTCTTTAACTTGCACAAATTAGTCTATTTTCTATTAAGATGACGCGGCGAAAAATGATGCGATACGCAAAATAATACAGTCATATACTGACAATTAAATTCAGAACGAGAATTTTTATTATATTTACGAAGCGAAAAAATTTACTAGCATATATTGCTTTGCTACTTTTACGATCGCGATCTGTTTAAAAGAAATCATTTGTAATTACTTTTGCTGATTATCCACAGTCGATTACTCGATGATGAAAAATGATTGCACTATTTGACACCAAATTGAACTGCCAGACTTTGAAAATTGGATAATGCAGATATAGTCTATTATGTTTAGTATGAATTGTAAATAAATGTTTTTAAATTAAAACTTCGTTGCAATATAAATAAAATTAACAATTTTTAATTTTTGCAAGATGAACGTCAATTGTACACACTGATGTTTATTAATACAAGATATATTTTAATGTATGATAATAAAACAATAATCGCATATTATGTTTTTCCCACACCAAAAATATTATTTTGTGCAACTTTTTACAACATTAAGTAATTTACAGAAAATTTCGGTAATTTATAGAACGCTTGCTATAATTTAAATCTGTTAAATATATTGTGCCATAAATTCTTAAGCATAATCTTCTTTTGCTACAATTTTAATTGCATTTTAACCTCCTGGAAACCAGGGCCCAAGCAATTGATATACTTCAAGACACAACTCAAGAAGAGGTTGCTGAAATGTAAAAAAATAAATGAAATATAACTTTTTATTTTATCTGATTACAATGTATTAAAATGTATAAAAAACAAAGCTTTCTCTATAAGGAAGCAAAGTATCACGGTTACGTATAATATATATATATTTCATTATACTTTAACACATACTAACACACTTTGTACAAAAATTTTTTCACATATATGTGAACTCTTGCAAATAACAAAATTATTGTTAATGTTTTATATTGTTCTTATGAATTATTTCACATTTTACATGTACACATAGTTATGATATCTATAATTTTAACAAAGAAAAATAACAAAATTATTTTAATGAGAAATTGTCAATTGCCTATAATTAAATGTACAACTATAAATATTAAAAAATATAAAAAACACGATTGTATATGTTCAATAAAAATTGTATACCAGTTTTAATTTTTGCGGAACAGGCTTCTCTTCAGCTGACCCTGTCGGCACAGCCGTAACATTGGAGATCAAGACAATGGCAAAGCCCGCAACTAACAAAAATGTATATGTTACGGTATTCATCGTTGTAAACTGATCCGAAATTTTTGAATTCTGACGGTACGTCTTTATAGTGACTCAATTTATACATCAAAAAGTCGTGATTTGGACATCATAAACATTATCTAATCCAGAAAATTCTAACATTTATTAAGACTTCATTAAATTTTATTTGCACATTACTTTTTAAAACTCAAGATAAAGTAGAGTTTATTGTTGAATATAAAATTGATTAAAGGAAATAAACGTAGTAATTTAGTGATGCACTTGAGAATAATACATTTTTTACGCATTTTGCACATTTAAAACGTCGCGTAAAAAATTTTTTTTTATTTGATATAAAACTAGTTCTACTAGCTTATTCTGAATTATTATTATTATTTATTCTAAATTTGAGATAAGAATGAAAGAATGAAAAAATGAAAAAAGAGAAAAATTGCTTTATAGAAAACAATAAAAACATTATAAAAATATTAAAACTTTGTAATGTAACACGTATATAGTATTAAAATGATGGTATAAATTATATACACATATTACACTTTCTTTTTATTCCTCTTTTTTACGCTTTGGTATATAATAAGAGAGAGAATATATATTTTGTTATATATATATGTATATATATATATATATATATATATATATATATATAAATAATAATATAGAAAATAATTATTTATATAAATCCTAAATCACAAGAAGGCGTAAAGAGCCAAACACGGATGTTGAAAATAAACCGTGCACAAGGCAACGTATTATTCTCGGTGTACTAACCAAAACTTGAAAATTGAAATAATCTTTTACTTGAGATTTTTAATTTGAAATCATCTCTTACTTGAGATTTTTAATTTGAAATCATCTCTTACTTGAGATTTAATTTTAAAAACCTTAACTCCTCTACGAAAATAAATAAATGCAACAGAAAAATATAGATCCGAAAGTCGCTGAATCGAAAATGATTCCCGAATCGTTATATATATATACATATTCTTCTATAAATTCTTATGTTATATATAAATAATTATTTTCTTGTATATAAATATCTTTTTTATAAAACATTGTAAATATTTTTATGTAAAAATAAAAAATACAATTAAAATAAATAACATTAAAAGAAAGAAATAGATATTAATTGTCACATATTTAGTAATAATATATGTATAATTATTTTGCAGCATTTGTTTGATTTATATTATTATATACATATATATAAAGAAAATTCTTAACAAAATCGTAAGCTTGCGACTACTTAAAAAAAAGTTTGTTTTATTAATAAGTATCATTAAGATTTAATAAAAATAAGTTTGATTTAATAATATAATAAAAATATTATATTTATCTCTCATTATTCATCTTTCTCTCGCGTCATAATATAAACCCATAATATAAACGTATAATATAAACTGCTACAGGACTCTCAAAATCAAATCGTATCGAGATTGTCTTTTGGATTATTATTTATGCGGAATATGTAATCGATTTACAATATTTTTAACTTTCATTTCTATAAGTTGAATTTTTCCTAGGATAGGAATATTATATCATATAAAGTAATCATAGCACTAGTATTTTGCGAAAGTCTATGAGATCAAAATCTGGTGTATCTATATCTCATTATGTGCATGAAATAACATTGAGACAATTAAATTTAATTCAGATAAGACAATTAAATTTAATTCAAATAAGACTTACTAAACTTGATAAAATTATATACGTGTTTTGCTGCTTTTACTCAATGGGCAAAGAAAAAAATTTGTGATTACTTCCGCAGATTCTTCATATTTAATCACATTTAACGACGAAAAATGAGTGCTAATAATTATCTGTTCTATGTACTTATAACGTCAAATTTAATTCATAGACTTCGTAAAATTTCGTATAGATAATCCTATACACATATAGTCTTATTACGTTTCAGTATAAAGTATCATTGTAATAAAACGTCATTAAAACTTATGCAATATATAAATGACATTAATAAATTTATTTCTGCGAATTATACAATTGTGATTTTTTTCTATTTCTATCTGCAAAAATAATAAATTATGCTATAAAAATATTTTAACTTTATATTCGTTGAATAGCAAGGAGTTAACATATCAATCATAATAGATACTTTTGCAGCATATTTATTTCAACACAATATATATTTTAGTACAAGATAATAAAATAATAATTACAGAATTACAATATATATAATTCCGATACGAAAAATATTATTTTGTGCAATTTTTGACAATAATATAGACATTATCATAGAATATTTGTAATAATTGACAATTTTGCTAAATATATAGTGTTATAATCAATTACATATGGATTTTTGGTAGCCTAAATCATCTTCAGTGTATTGTAGTTTAAAGGCCTAATACATTTACTAGAAGTCCATGTAAACCTTCCACAAGAGAATTCAAAAGATCCCTCTGAAATATAAAAAGAATATATAAATTTTATTTTTACATACACATATAACTTGTTTCATTATTATACAGCATGTACAAAAGATGTAATATATATATTACAAATATATATTTATAACATTACAATATACATGTATTTATTGCATACAATACATATTTTATAAAGTAATTTTTTACATAGGGGACTACTTATTTAAAAACAAGTAAATTTATTCTTAATATTTTACATAATAATCTTATTTGTGTGTATATATATGTGTATATATATGTAGGGTGTTTCGGGGTTAAATAGCTAAACTTAAAATACGAATTTAGGATCTTAGAACAAATAAATGTTTTATATAGAAGTTTGCTCGCAAACACTTCCTTGAAGATATATTGGCTTTTGAAATTTTGAACTTTAGGAATGAATAATATTAAAATAATTTAGATTTATCCTTTTTATGGCTTTACAGTAATCAATTTAATGTAATTATTAAATATTTTGTCATATATTATGTCAGTCAGCTACTCGTTCTGTTACTGAGAGATGCAATGCTTTTCTCCGCGGTAGAGGTCATCATTTTGAACAAAATATATAATAATTACATTAAATTGGTTCCTGTAAAGCAATAAAGAAGACACATTTAAATTATTTCGATATTATTCATTTCTATAGTTCAAAATTTTAAAAGTCAATATCTCTTCAAGGAAGCGTTTTGCGAGCAAACTTTTATATAAAATATTTTTTGGTTCTGAGATCCTAAATTCGTATTTTAAGTTTGGCTATTTAACCTGAAAACACTTTGTATATATATATATATATATATATATATATATAATACAAAATGTTAAAAAATTAAACTCACAAACTTTTCAAAGATAAAAAAGACTTCAAAATAAATATTTCTGTTGATGCTAATTTTCTCTACAACGTTTAGTTTTAATACTACATGATATGAGATATGAGTTTGTGACTTTCAGTTTGTCACCTTTGTATTGAAGTTAATAGAAGAATTTTTGAACATATACTATAAAAGGGTAAATTACTTTTATGTATTTGTTCTTTTGTTAAGATTAAAATACAATTTAATTTTTCCACTTATATGTTTATTTATTCTTTAAGTTGCAAATTTCTTTTTCATATCATATAATATAAACGAGGCATAGAGAAAAATAGTATTACACGCAGACACACAAACGCACATATTCATTAAATAAAAGTTTCATACTTTAGATCGTGCAGGCGAAACAACCTCGGCTTCAGCTGATGGTTCGGCCATGACGTCAAAGATCGAAACAATCGCAAAAATGGCAACCAATAAAAATAGATATATTTGGGTATTCATCGTTGCAGACTTATGAAGAACTAATCCAAAATTTTCTGATAATATGTCTTTATACAAGTATGGCTAGCGATTCAATTTATATAGCAAAAACATCGTGATCTGGACGTCATAAATATTATCTAATCAAAACAATTCCTCACATTTATTAAAATTGAATATTATTTCAGCGTTACTTTCTGAAAGCTTAAAATAAAATCGAGTTTATTATTGTACATAAAATTCCTCAAAAGAAATAATACGGTAGATTAATGTTATTTGAATATTGCATTTACTTTATTTATAGTCACATTTAAAAGATTGTGCAAAAATATTTTATTTTTGAGACATAAAAAATAAAAATAAATTAATACATTGTCGCTCGTATATTGAAAACAAAGTGATAAATATAAGGCCAACTTATCGAGCTGAATATTCGAGATGTTCAGTCAACTACCATTTATTACATGTATAAATTATAAAACTACAGTCATTATATTAAACTAACGCAAATTACAATCATTCTATAAACGTTTCGACCGCACGCGGTCTTCTTCAGTATAATTATTGAAATATAAATTCTTACAATTCACATAATATCGAAATTTAATTATAGTTATTCAGAATCAAGAGTTTTTGAGTAATTAACGCGTGTTTCAATCCGTCCTGTCCAACAATGTTCGCCTCGATATGATCCCTGATTTTGTTCAGATCTCGGATAGTTTCATCGTTAATATGCGAGAAATTAACCCGTTCCGTAGGCGCTGCGATTTATAAAAAATTACCGATCAACGCATGTCCAAATTATAATATGTATCCCCTACAATTGGTAGTATGCTTACCTATCATCGTTCTTCTTGATAATTTTGCTACTTATTAACAGTTATTAAGGATGACACATAACAAACCAACAATACAGAAAGACAGCTCATTTTAAACTCTACTTGATCGGAGAGCGTGCGTGTTTATATATGATCTAATATCTATGTTTTACTCGTTAATGTCCTATTTGTCCTATTATTATTTCTTGTTCGCTAATATATCCAAAATATCAAAATACGACTCGCTAAGTAACTCAGTATCTTTGTTTAAATTTAGTCCATTTTTTTGTTCCTTGATATGTAGCATCTCAGAAATGAGTCTTTTATAATAATTATTTTCGTTGTCCATGATCTTAACATTGTCCCAATTAAAAGTATGATGTTCATTTATTATGTGTTCAGAATTACTGAATGTTTCGTTGAGTCCAACCTAATATTATTTTTATGTTCTTTTATTCGCGTCTGCAATTGCCTCTTTGTTTGGCCTACATAAGATGCATTACAATTATTGCAACTGATCTTATAAACCACATTCGAATTGCATGGATGTTTATAAGATCAGTTGCAATAATTGTAATGCATCTTATGTAGGCCAAACAAAGAGGCAATTGCAGACGCGAATAAAAGAACATAAAAAATATTAGGTTGGACTCAACGAAACATTCAGTAATTTCTGAACACATAATAAATGAACATCATACTTTTAATTGGGACAATGTTAAGATCATGGACAACGAAAATAATTATTATAAAAGACTCATTTCTGAGATGCTACATATCAAGGAACAAAAAATGGACTAAATTTAAACAAAGATACTGAGTTACTTAGCGAGTCGTATTTTGATATTTTGGATATATTAGCGAACAAGAAATAATAATAGGACAAATAGGACATTAACGAGTAAAACATAGATATTAGATCATATATAAACACGCACGCTCTCCGATCAAGTAGAGTTTAAAATGAGCTGTCTTTCTGTATTGTTGGTTTGTTATGTGTCATCCTTAATAACTGTTAATAAGTAGCAAAATTATCAAGAAGAACGATGATAGGTAAGCATACTACCAATTGTAGGGATACATATTATAATTTGGACATGCGTTGATCGGTAATTTTTATAAATCGCAGCGCCTACGGAACGGGTTAATTTCTCGCATATTAACGATGAAACTATCCGAGATCTGAACAAAATCAGGGATCATATCGAGGCGAACATTGTTGGACAGGACGGATTGAAACACGCGTTAATTACTCAAAAACTCTTGATTCTGAATAACTATAATTAAATTTCGATATTATGTGAATTGTAAGAATTTATATTTCAATAATTATACTGAAGAAACCGCGTGCGGTCGAAACGTTTATAGAATGATTGTAATTTGCGTTAGTTTTAATATAATGACTGTAGTTTTATAATTTATACATGTAATAAATGGTAGTTGACTGAACATCTCGAATATTCAGCTCGATAAGTTGGCCTTATATTTATCACTTTATAAAAAATAAAGTTAATTTTACACATTTTTGAATTCTAGATAAAAATTATTCTTTAATAAAAAAATATAATAAAAAGATTGCAATATGTCACGTAATAAGGAAATAATATGCGCGATATAATGTGTGTGTGTACAGGATAACTTGTATCCACCGAATCACTGACTTGACAATAAGATTTCCGACGTCATTTGGAAGCAATTTTTCCTTAGTTAAAATGGGGTATAATAATTTTCAAGTTATAAACAATTGAAAATAAAGGGTTTTCCGCAAACTCTCTAAGCCTTGTGGAAATAAAATATTAGCAAAACTCCATTTTTTAGTTAATTTTAGGTAGAATTTACTTTAATAGAATTTTAGTTCAAAACTTAATTACAAATAAGATACATAATATGGCAAAAATTGAAAACATGCAAAAAAATTATGATTTTTTTGACTTTTTCACTGACGAATCACGAAATTATATATACATGAGTGTTTAAACTTATCTTGCGGAAAATAAGTTTTTAGTAAAATTTAATTTAAAAATTATATCAACGATAAAATCATTTCTCGCATAAAGTGAAGTATATTGAATATCAATATGTCATGTTTACTGCGATTGCGTCTCTTGCATTATTGTTCGCTCAATTACTTATGAATATAATTTGCATTTTTATTTATTTAGATATTTACTGTTCTAGCATTAGCTTCAATTTTCCTGCTTTTCCAAGATCAATTTCAATACAATGAACAAATTGGCTGAAAATGTATATATAATGCATAGCGAATCAAAATTGTTTTTCTTGATAACTCGTACATTTCATCATTATTTATACACAAAAAAAATTATTACCGGTATGCAATAAATAAATTATCAAGATTTGTAAAATTATAAATGTTATGTCTATAATCAATAAATAATATAATAATTATAAGTATAAAAATATTATTATAAGATAATAAGGAAAAACGTGCTACAAAAATTGAAAAAAAATATATATATGCAGCAGATTTTTTATTTAATTATTTTTAAATACAAATTTCAACAAACTGTTTAAATAAGTCTAATACTTCCAAATTATCATCATTCATGTTGGAATCTATTTGCAGGAAATATGAAAGTGAGTTATGATCTTTTTAGCTTGTACATATGCATATTCTTATAAATTAGTTTTCCATTGGCAATGAAATATAAACGAATATCATATTGATCATATTTCCATTCCAATATTTTGCGCAAAATTTATATAAAAAATAAAAATCTGACGCGTCTACATCGCATTATGTGCATGGAATGACATTGTGATGATTAAATATAAGGCAAATGAGATCTGATCTTTTATTTAATTGTGATCTATGAAAATAAAAAATTATGCTATCATTTCCGTAATTGCTTATAATTGATTGTTTAAGAACAAAAGTGCTAACACAATTGTCTGTTTTTTTCTGCCTGTAACATTAAATTTTAGTAGACTTTTTACAATTTAGTAAATAATAGCATACATTCATATCTACTATGTTTTAAAATTTTTGTTTGCAATATAAATAAAATTGCTAATTTTTTATTTCTGCAAAATAAAAATTCTATTACAGAAAGTTAATTGAAAACTTTAAATATTTTTTATCTCGTAATTTATTAAATTTAAAAGGTACACACATCATTTATCTACATTGCGCTGGAACACTTGTATTGCATGCTAAGAGATGTTAGAAGTAGAAAAATAATGTGTGTACATTTTATATATTTAATACATTACAAAATGAAAATTATTCAAAGTTTTTAGTTGACTTTCGCGAATAATTTACGTTATTATTATTAACATCTAAATAATGTTACGATAAACAACAATTTAAATAAATTTTTGCGATTATTTGATAACAAGAAATTAATATTAATCATATCAAGAAAACATATTTGCACAACATGAATATTTATTAATACAAAATATATTTTGATATAATAATAATAAAATACAAATATAATTGCATATTATATTTTATATAATTTTGACATCAAGAATATTACATCGTGTTTTTCTATATACTATATGTAGATATCATTATTAAATAATATTCGTAATTATTGAAAATACTGTTGAATATATTATGTCACAATTACTTAAGAATAATTTTTATGCTAATAGCTCATCCTAAATGCATTTTAATTTAAAATATTATAATCCAGTTTGTAGTTCAATTAATCCCGCTAGCGGAGCAGGAAGAAAACTGAGTAAGTACGTAATAATATGATTAATGATACTCTTTACAATTATATAAAGTATCTTATTAAATATTCTTAGCGGATCTAGAAAAAGAGAAAGGAAAAAAGTAAAAATGTTTTTTGAAAATGTGAAATTTATCCTAAATGACCCCCTATTGGGTCAAGAAGCAAAGATAGTAAAAAAATAAAAATACTCCTCGAAAATGCAAGAAATCTCCCAAGTAATGGCTCAAGAAAGAAAGAGAATAAAAAAGTAATCATATTACTATTTTGCGAAAGTCTATGAGATCAAAATCTGGTGTATCTATATCTCATTGCGTATATAAAATGACATTATGACAATTAAATTTAATTCAGATAAGACCTTCTACTAAACTTGATAAAATTATATACATGTTTTGCTGCTTTTACTCAGTAGGCAAAGAAAAATATTTGTGATTACTTCCGCAGATTCTTCATATTTGATCACATTTAACGACGAAAAATGAGTGCTAATAATTATCTGTTCTATGTACTTATAACGTCAAATTTAATTCATAGACTTCGTAAAATTTTGTATAGATAATCCTATACACATATAGTCTTATTACGTTTCAGTATAAAGTATCATTGTAATAAATCGTCATTAAAACTTATGCAATATAAATGACATTAATAAAATTTATTTCTGCGAATTATACAATTGTGATTTTTTTTCTATTTCTAATTGCAAAAATAATAAATTATGCTATAAAAATATTTTAACTTTATATTCGTTGAATAGCAAGGAGTTAACATATGAATCATAATAGATACTTTTGCAGCATATTTATTTCAACACAATATATATTTTAGTACAAGATAATAAAATAATAATTACAGAATTACAATATATATAATTCCGATACGAAAAATATTATTTTGTGCAATTTTTGACAATAATATAGACATTATCATAGAATATTTGTAATAATTGACAATTTTGCTAAATATATAGTGTTATAATTAATTACATATGGATTTTTGATAGCCTAAATCATTTTAAGTGTATTGTAGTTTAAAGGCCTATAATAGGTTTAATAAGCCTTCTAGAAGTTCCAAAACAAGACCCCTCTGAAATATAAAAAGAATATATAAATTTCATTTTCACATACACGGATAACTTTGTTTCATTATTATACAGCATGTACAAAAGGTGTAATATATATTACAAATATTTATAACATTATAATATACATGTATTTATTGCATACAATATATATTTTATTACCGACATATTATAAAGTAATTTTTTACATAGGGGACTACTTATTTAAAAACAAGTAAATTTATTCTTAACATTTTACATAATAATCTTATTTGTGTGTATATATATGTGTATATATATGTAGGGTGTTTCGGGGTTAAATAGCTAAACTTAAAATACGAATTTAGGATCTTAGAACAAATAAATGTTTTATATAGAAGTTTGCTCGCAAACACTTCCTTGAAGATATATTGGCTTTTGAAATTTTGAACTTTAGGAATGAATAATATTAAAATAATTTAGATTTATCCTTTTATGGCTTTACAGTAATCAATTTAATGTAATTATTAAATATTTTGTCATATATTATGTCAGTCAGCTACTCGTTCTGTTACTGAGAGATGCAATGCTTTTCTCCGCGGTAGAGGTCATCATTTTGAACAAAATATATAATAATTACATTAAATTGGTTCCTGTAAAGCAATAAAGAAGATACATTTAAATTATTTCGATATTATTCATTTCTATAGTTCAAAATTTTAAAAGTCAATATCTCTTCAAGGAAGCGTTTTGCGAGCAAACTTTTATATAAAATATTTTTTGGTTCTGAGATCCTAAATTCGTATTTTAAGTTTGGCTATTTAACCTGAAAACACTTTGTATATATATATATATATATATATATATATATATATATATATATATATACAAAATGTTAAAAAATTAAACTCACAAACTTTTCAAAGATAAAGAAGACTTCAAAATAAATATTTCTGTTGATGCTAATTTTCTCTACAACGTTTAGTTTTAATACTACATGATATGAGATATGAGTTTGTGACTTTCAGTTTGTCACCTTTGTATTGAAGTTAATAGAAGAATTTTTGAACATATACTAAGAAAGAATAAATTATTTTTATATATTTGTACCGTGTTTTGTGTTCAAGATTAAAATACAATTTAATTTTTCCACTTATATGTTTATTTATTCTTTAAGTTGCAAACTTTTTTTCATATCATATAATATAAAAGAGGCATAGAGAAAAATAGTATTACACACAGACACACACACACACATATTCATTAAATAAAAGTTTCGTACTTTAGATCGTGAAAGCGGAACAAACTCGGCTTCAGCTGATGGTTTGGCCATGACGTCAAAGATCGAAACCATCGCAAAAATGGCAACTAACAAAAATAAATATATTTGGGTATTCATCGTCGTAGACTTAAGAAGGACTAATCCAAAATTTTTAATTCTGATAATATGTCTTCATACAAGCTCATGTCTAGTCATTCTATTTATATAGCAAAAAAATCGTGACATCATAAATATTATTTATAATTCAGAAAATTCTAACATTTATTAAACTTTTATTAAACTTTTATACTTTAAATTTTATTTGCACATTATTTTTTAAAATTAAAGATAAAGAAGAGTTTACTGTTGAATATAAAATTGATTAAAGGAAATAAACGTGATGATTTAGTGATATACTTGAGAATTATGTATTTTTTATGCATTTTGCACATTTAAAACGTCGAGTGAAAAATCATAATTTTATTTGATGTGCGTGTGTGTGTGTGTGTGTGAGAACTGGCTTATTCTACTAGCTTATTCTGAATTATTATTAGTATTTATTCTAAATTTTTATCTAAATTTGAGATAAGAAATTGTTTTATAGAAAATACAATAAAACATTAAAAATATTAAAAACATTAAAAGTATTTTGCATCAAAAACTTTGTAATGTGACGCATACGATATTAAAATGTTGATATAAATTACACACGCATAGTACACTTTCTTTTTCTTCCTTTTTTTTTCTCTTTGGTATATAATAAGAGAGTGTATACACGTATATTTTCTTATACGTATATTTACTTATATAAATTCTTATGTTATATATAAATAATTATTTTCTTGCATATAAATATCTTTTTATAAAACATTGTAAATATTTTAGGTAAAAATAAAAAAATACAATTAAAATAAAAATAACATCAAAATAAAGAAAGACTAAATATTAATTATGTCACATATTTATAGTAATAATATATATATAATTATTTTGCAGCCGATTATTGAATTTTTATTTTTATATATATAATTAATATATACATATAATATCTTTTCCCTGAGACAAATCTTTATTATATGAATCTAATATATTTGCTCTCTTTCGGTTTGCTGATCATTTGTCAATGGGGAACGAATTATTTGCGCGATATCGAAGTAGATATAATAGCGTTCCTTTTGAAACTTTTAGCGCTAAACGTATATTTTGTCTTTGTTGCACATCGAATATCAAACGAAAATAAAACGACGCGTTTAACGCTAAAAACATCAAGAGGAACGCAGCCAATGAAACATGGTACTACATGAAAAATTTTTAACAACATCGTAAGCTCATGACTACTTAAAAAAGAAGTTTGTTCTGTTAATAATAAGTTTTAGTAAGAGATTTAATAAAAATAATTTTCTTTAGTAATGTAATGATAATGTTATATTTATATACCATCTTTCTCATGCGTCATAATGTTAATTTATAAATTCAACCATTTTTCAAGATATTAATATATACATTTATAATAAGTGTAAAAGAAGAAATACAAAAAGATATAGGTCATTTATATATATATATATATATATATATATATATATATATGGTATAATTAATTATGGCACATGTTTACATATATTGGGACTTCTTTTTTGCATTGTGTTCGCCCATTTACTATGAGCTTAACTTGCGTTTTGAAAAATTTGTTAACTCAAGTATTCAAAATCCGTAGACTTTTCTTTCCTACTTTCCGCTACCTTCTGAAACTTCATTTTAATTGAATAGTTTTAATAAAACGAGCACAGTTGCTAAAAAATATATAATACATTATAAATCGAAAATTGTTTTCTTTTCTGTTACTCGCGTTTCCATAATCTATCGATCGATATTTGCACAAAATATATAACATTGTTATAGATTATGCCAAAAATATATTACAGAATATATTTGTTATATTGGAAAGTTGTCTCTACAATTAATAATTATTATTAATGATCGATAATCACAAGTTTAAAATATATTATTATAAATTAATAAACAAGTATGTATATATTGTAAAACATAAAATATTTAAAATATGCTTATACATACGTAGATTGTGTGTTTAGTTGAAAGTATAGATTTATTTTAATACTTTTTATAAATAAATGTGATGTTTAAGTTCAAAAAGTCGTTAAAAAAGTTAAAAATTATTTAAGTTGTGTTTTATTATTATTATTATTATTATTATTATTATCTTTTTAGAAAAATTGTAACATTATTAGGCTATTTTGTAACGATAGTGTGCTTAATCTTAGATGCAGCGACATAGAATATTTGATTTCTCGTTCTACACCTATATTAAACTTAAAGAGATGCCGTTGTTTTCAATGATGTATTCAACAAATCAATTCAATGCGGAATTCAACATCTTCTTTACACGATAAATAGACATTTATGACTTACATATGTCATCTAATATATTTTTAATTCATTTAACTGCTCAGCCGTTTATCCGTTTATGTATAGTTTATGTATTTTATTTTTTTGCATTATGCGCTGAAGAAAGCTCAAAAATGTGCCAAAATGTCCGCAGATAAAAGTATGTATATGTAGTTTTATATTAAAATTGATGAATTTACTTTTTATTTTTTATTTTATGAATACTGCGCCTTTTAATTACTGCGACAGAACTCTCATAGCTAAATCGTATTGAGATTGTCTTTTGGAAAATTATTTATGCGGAATATGTAATCGTTTACAGTATTTTTAACTTTTATTTCTATAAGTTGAATTTTTCCTAGGATAGGAATATTTATATCATATGAAGTAATTATATTACTATTTTGCGAAAGTCTATGAGATCAAAATCTGGTGTATCTATATCTCATTGCGTATATAAAATGACATTATGACAATTAAATTTAATTTAGATAAGACCTTCTACTAAACTTGATAAAATTATATATGTGTTTTGCTGTTTTTACTCAATAGGCAAAGAAAAATATTTGTGATTACTTCCGCAGATTCTTCATATTTGATCACATTTAACGACGAAAAATGAGTGCTAATAATTATCTGTTCTATGTACTTATAACGTCAAATTTAATTCATAGACTTCGTAAAATTTCGTATAGATAATCCTATACACATATAGTCTTATTACGTTTCAGTATAAAGTATCATTGTAATAAAACGTCATTAAAATTTATGCAATATATAAATAACATTAATAAAATTTATTTCTGCGAATTATACAATTGTGATTTTTTTTCTATTTCTAACTGCAAAAATAATAAATTAGGCTATAAAAATATTTTAACTTTATAATTGTTGAATAGCAAGGAGTTAACATATCAACCATAATACATACTTTTGCAGCATATTTATTTCAACACAATATATATTTTAGTACAAGATAATAAAATAATAATTACAGAATTACAATATATATAATTCCGAAACGAAAAATATTATTTTGTGCAATTTTTGACAATAATATAGACATTATCATAGAATATTTGTAATAATTGACAATTTTGCTAAATATATAGTGTTATAATTAATTACATATGGATTTTTGATAGCCTAAATCATCTTAAGTGTATTGTAGTTTAAAGGCCTAATAGGCCTAATACTTTTTCTAGAATTCCATGTATAATTTCCACAATAACACTCAAAAGATCCCTCTGAAATATAAAAAGAATATATAAATTTTATTTTTACATACACATATAACTTGTTTCATTATTATACAGCATGTACAAAAGATGTAATATATATTACAAATATATATTTATAACATTACAATATACATGTATTTATTGCATACAATATATATTTTATTACCGACATTTTATAAAGTAATTTTTTACATAGAGGACTACTTATTTAAAAACAAGTAAATTTATTCTTAATATTTTACATAATAATCTTATTTGTGTGTATATATATGTATATATATATATATATATATATATATATATATATATATGTAGGGTGTTTCGAAGTTAAATAGCTAAACTTAAAATTCGAATTTAGGATCTTAGAACAAAAAAATGTTTTATATAGAAGTTTGCTCGCAAACGCTTCCTTGAAGATATATTGACTTTTGAAATTTTGAACTATAGAAATGAATAATATCGAAATAATTTAGATTTATTTTCTTTATGGCTTTACAGTAATCAATTTAATGTAATTATTAAATATTTTGTCATATATTATGTCAATCAGCTACTCGTTCTGTTACTGAGAGGTGCAATGCTTTTCTCCGCGGTGGAGGTCATCATTTTGAACAAAATATTTAATAATTACATTAAATTGATTCCTGTAAAGCAATAAAGAAAATAAATCTAAATTATTTCGATATTATTCATTTCTATAGTTCAAAATTTTAAAAGTCATTATCTCTTCAAGGAAGCGTTTGCGAGCAAACTTTTATATAAAATATTTTTTGGTTCTGAGATCCTAAATTCGTATTTTAAGTTTGGCTATTTAACCTGGAAACACTCTGTATATATATATATAATACAAAATGTTAAAAAATTAAACTCACAAACTTTTCAAAGATAAAAAAAACTTCAAAATAAATATTTTTGTTGACACTAATTTTCTCTACAACGTTTAGTTTTAATACTACATGATATGAGATATGAGTTTGTGACTTTCAGTTTGTCACCTTTGTATTGAAGTTAATAGAAGAATTTTTGAACATATACTAAGAAAGAATAAATTATTTTTATATATTTGTACCGTGTTTTGTGTTCAAGATTAAAATACAATTTAATTTTTCCACTTATATGTTTATTTATTCTTTAAGTTGCAAACTTTTTTTTCATATCATATAATATAAAAGAGGCATAGAGAAAAATAGTATTACACACAGACACACACACACACATATTCATTAAATAAAAGTTTCATACTTTAGATCGTGAAAGCGAAACAAGCTCGGCTTCAGCTGATGGTTCGGCCATGACGTCAAAGATCGAAACAATCGCAAAAATGGCAACCAATAAAAATAGATATATTTGGGTATTCATCGTTGCAGACTTATGAAGAACTAATCCAAAATTTTCTGATAATATGTCTTTATACAAGTATGGCTAGCGATTCAATTTATATAGCAAAAACATCGTGATCTGGACGTCATAAATATTATCTAATCAAAACAATTCCTCACATTTATTAAAATTGAATATTATTTCAGCGTTACTTTCTGAAAGCTTAAAATAAAATCGAGTTTATTATTGTACATAAAATTTCTCAAAAGAAATAATACGGTAGATTAATGTTATTTGAATATTGCATTTACTTTATTTATAGTCACATTTAAAAGATTGAGCAAAAAATATTTTATTTTTGAGACATAAAAAATAAAGTTAATTTTACACATTTTTGAATTCTAGATAAAAATTATTCTTTAATAAAAAAATATAATAAAAAGATTGCAATATGTCACGTAATAAGGAAATAATATGCGCGATATAATGTGTGTGTGTACAGGATAACTTGTATCCACCGAATCACTGACTTGACAGTAAGATTTCCGACGTCATTTGGAAGCAATTTTTCTTTAGTTAAAATGGGGTATAATAATTTTCAAGTTATAAACAATTGAAAATAAAGGGTTTTCCGCAAACTCTCTAAGCCTTGTGGAAATAAAATATTAGCAAAACTCCATTTTTTAGTTAATTTTAGGTAGAATTTACTTTAATAGAATTTTAGTTCAAAACTTAATTACAAATAAGATACATAATATGGCAAAAATTGAAAACATGCAAAAAAATTATGATTTTTTTTGACTTTTTCACTGACGAATCACGAAATTATATATACATGAGTGTTTAAACTTATCTTGCGGAAAATAAGTTTTTAGTAAAATTTAATTTAAAAATTATATCAACGATAAAATCATTTCTCGCATAAAGTGAAGTATATTGAATATCAATATGTCATGTTTACTGCGATTGCGTCTCTTGCATTATTGTTCGCTCAATTACTTATGAATATAATTTGCATTTTTATTTATTTAGATATTTACTGTTCTAGCATTAGCTTCAATTTTCCTGCTTTTCCAAGATCAATTTCAATACGATGAACAAATTGGCTGAAAATGTATATATAATGCATAGCGAATCAAAAATTGTTTTTCTTGATAACTCGTACATTTCATCATTATTTATACACAAAAAAAATTATTACCGGTATGCAATAAATAAATTATCAAGATTTGTAAAATTATAAATGTTATGTCTATAATCAATAAATAATATAATAATTATAAGTATAAAAATATTATTATAAGATAATAAGGAAAAACGTGCTACAAAAATTGAAAAAAAAATATATATATGCAGCAGATTTTTTATTTAATTATTTTTAAATACAAATTTCAACAAACTGTTTAAATAAGTCTAATACTTCCAAATTATCATCATTCATGTTGGAATCTATTTGCAGGAAATATGAAAGTGAGTTATGATCTTTTTAGCTTGTACATATGCATATTCTTATAAATTAGTTTTCCATTGGCAATGAAATATAAACGAATATCATATTGATCATATTTCCATTCCAATATTTTGCGCAAAATTTATATAAAAAATAAAAATCTGACGCGTCTACATCGCATTATGTGCATGGAATGACATTGTGATGATTAAATATAAGGCAAATGAGATCTGATCTTTTATTTAATTGTGATCTATGAAAATAAAAAATTATGCTATCATTTCCGTAATTGCTTATAATTGATTGTTTAAGAACAAAAGTGCTAACACAATTGTCTGTTTTTTTCTGCCTGTAACATTAAATTTTAGTAGACTTTTTACAATTTAGTAAATAATAGCATACATTCATATCTACTATGTTTTAAAATTTTTGTTTGCAATATAAATAAAATTGCTAATTTTTTATTTCTGCAAAATAAAAATTCTATTACAGAAAGTTAATTGAAAACTTTAAATATTTTTTATCTCGTAATTTATTAAATTTAAAAGGTACACACATCATTTATCTACATTGCGCTGGAACACTTGTATTGCATGCTAAGAGATGTTAGAAGTAGAAAAATAATGTGTGTACATTTTATATACTTAATACATTACAAAATGAAAATTATTCAAAGTTTTTAGTTGACTTTCGCGAATAATTTACGTTATTATTATTAACATCTAAATAATGCTACGATAAACAACAATTTAAATAAATTTTTGCGATTATTTGATAACAAGAAATTAATATTAATCATATCAAGAAAACATATTTGCACAACATGAATATTTATTAATACAAAATATATTTTGATATAATAATAATAAAATACAAATATAATTGCATATTATATTTTATATAATTTTGACATCAAGAATATTACATCGTGTTTTTCTAATTACTATATGTAGATATCATTATCAAATAATATTCGTAATTATTGAAAATTCTGTTGAATATATTATGTCACAATTACTTAAGAATAATTTTTATCCTAATAGCTCATCCTAAATGCATTTTAATTTAAAATATTATAATCCAGTTTGTAGTTCAATTAATCCCGCTAGCGGAGCAGGAAGAAAACTGAGTAAGTATGTAATAATATGATTAATGATACTCTTTACAATTATATGAAGTATCTTTTAAATATTCTTAGCGGTTCAAGAAAAAGAGAAAGGAAAAAAGTAAAAATGTTTTTTGAAAATGTGAAATTTATCCTAAATAAGGTCCCTATTGGGTCAAGAAGCAAAGATAGTAAAAAAATAAAAATACTCCTCGAAAATGCAAGAAATCTCCCAAGTAATGGCTCAAGAAAGAAAGAGAATAAAAAAGTAAAAACACATCTCTGAAATGCAAGAAAATAAATAAAATTTTATTTTTTATTTTATTTGTTTACATATATTAATATGTATAATAAACATTGCGATTTTATATACTGTATATAATTATTAAAACTCTGTATACATATAAAATAATTTTTCAAATTTTAAAGAATTCTCTACTCACAAGTAAATGAAAAACTTATTGTTAATGTTCTGTACTGTTTCTATAAATTATTTTATACATATATAATACATGATACAGTTATTGTACATATAATTTTGGACAAAAGCAATATCAAAGAAAATATGTATAACATATATTTTTTATAATATTATATAAACATATGTGTAGAAATATAATAATTATTTGTAATGAGAAATTACATTATGAAAATAATGAAAATTAATAATTATATGTTACAAATATAAATATACTAATAAATTAAATAAATAAAATAATATATTAAATAGAAGTTTTATACCTTAGAGCGTGAGAGCGAATCAGTGTTCGCTTCAGCTAATGGATTAGCTATAACATCGAAAGTTAAAACAACCGTAAAAACGGTAACTATTATAAGTAGATATATTATGATATTCATTGCTGCAAACTTGTATGAAGAACAATTCAAAATTTTTTATTCTAGTACCGTATCTTCATAATGCGTTTATTTATATAACAAAAAGTCGTGACCTGGACATCAAAACATTATTTAAACATTATCTAATCTGGCAAATTCCTACATTTTATTAAGACTTTATCAAAATTTATTACATTTATTTTATTATTACTTTATTTATAAATTTTATTACTTAATTTTTTAAAACTCAAGATAAATAAACTTTATTATTAAATATAAAATTTTTTGAAAAAAATAAATATGATGTTTTAAGATTATTTGAACAATACATTTTTGCCTATAATTATTTATGAGATTGTGCAAAAAATTTTTTATTTTATATATAATAAATATTTTTATATTTTGTATAAAGTTTTTATTTCTTTTAAGATAGGGTTTTATATAAGAAGTAAAATGACTTAACACACATTACAATACTTAAAATAACTTGATATTACAATCTTTTAAATAATCTGAATTCGATATAAAAAATTGTTTAACAGAAAAAAACAATAAAATTATTATATAAAATTCGCAATGTGGTGTGTAAAAGATTATACATGTGCATACAATATAGTTTCTCCTTTCCTTTTTCTAATGTTATTTTTATTATGTTGTTTATGTTATGTTTTTTTAATATTATACTTATACACACGCAATATATATATTAAAATGTGATTATATATACACAGGTTGTTCTAAAATTAATAGCAAACTTTAATAACAGATTCCTGGTATCATTTGGAGACGATTTTTTCTCAACAAAAATGTCGAGACATCAATAATTTTCGAGTTATAAGCGATTAAAAATAAGGAGTTTTTCGCAAACTAAGTCTTGTGGAAAAATAAAATATTAACAAAATCACATTCTTTTATTACTTTTATGTAGAGTTTACTTTAATAGAATTTTAATTTAAGGTTTAATTACAAAGATACATAATGACAAAAATTGGGAACATGCAAAAAATGATAGTCTCTCTCGACATTTTCGCTGAGAAAAAATCGTTTCCAAATGATCCCAGGGATCTGCCACTAAAAGGTTTGCTATTAATTTTGGGACACCCTGTATATATATATATTCAAACTTATTAATATAAAATATACTTTACAGATAAATAACAAAATTATTGTAACAATGAGCATTAATTGCAAACAATAAAGCGAGATTGTATTCGCGTCTTACGCGAGCATCTTTCTATAACTCATAGACCTTTCTATAACTCAAAGAATTGTTTTTTTTTTAATATGGACAGCTATTTATAATACAATTTATTAACTTTACACGCGCGTGCGTCTAAAATTGTATCCATCAGTATTAGTTGTTTTTTATGCATGATCAAACTATATGTAGTTAATTATTGATTTCATTATACCAAATAACCATTATTTAATTAATGCATTTAATATATATATATATATTTATATATATATATATGTATGTATATACATATATGTGTATATATACATATATACATATATAAAACTAATGCAAAAACATATTTATTAAATATAAATTTAAAGTGTAAAACAGGCAATAAGAGCCAAATCGTGGATGACAGTGCGTTATCCCAACGAAACTAAATTTTTTCGTTAGAATTAAATACCTGTGCACAAGGCACCAAATTTTACTTGGTCACGCGGCCAAGATTTAAAATTGAAATAATCTCTACAAGAGATTTAATTTCATACATCCCCTGTTCCCTCCTAAGGAAATAAATGCGAGAGAAAAATATAGATCCGAAAGTCGCTGAATCGGGAATATTTATTAAATAATAGATCTTTTCGGTAGAGAATACATTAATACTAATATACATCTCGTATAACAAATAATTAATAAGATTTATATATTATAACGTGACACTATTATAAATGCTACTGGCTAATAACATATAATCTTAATGTATGACATATCATAATCATAATCTTAATATATATCTTAATCTTAATATATTTATATATATACAATAGTATATATAATACGTAATACAATGTGTCTTGTAAAAACCGAATCAACATTTAAGGATAGATTCCTGGGATCATTTTTTAGACAATTTTTTCTCTGATAATGAAATAAAATTATCTGAAGGAAAATGTCGAGGAAGACCATTATTTTTTGCACATTCCCATTTTTTTACCATCATATATTTTTTGTAACTAAGCCTAAAATTAAAAATCTTATTAAAGTAAACTTTGTTTGAAAATAATTGAAAAATGTGGTTTTGTTAATATTTTATTTCTACAAGGTTTACAATTAGTTTGCGAAAAATCCTTTATTTTCAATCGCTTATAACACGAAAATTATTCGTACTTCTATATAGATATTTTTGCTGAAGAAAAAATACATTAATAATGGATGTTAATGACAAATTGCACAACATGCATATATTGTAAAACTTACAACGAATTGAAAATATACATATATATGTAGATTCTATGTTTATTTGAAAGTATTTCATTTATTAATTTTCTTAAATAAATCCTGATATTTTAGAACAAAAATTTATCGTTAAAAATGTTGGAAATTATTTATGCGGGTTCATGTAATCGACCTATAATATTTTTAACTTGTATTCTTTCTCTTTCCCTCTTTCTCTCTCTTCCGTACAGATTGGATTCTTCCTTACAATTAGATAAAAACGTAAAATATTATATCGTATGTTATGTGAAAATAACTATAATACTAACACAATAACAATTACCATACAAAATCAACTAAACTCTAACAGTGCTTAAGCTCGTATGTAAAAAAACACAATGATAAATTATTAAATATTATTAGGCCCTGTGTAACGAGCACAAAAAATTTTTATTAATTCTAAGAAAAAAAAAATATTTTTTAAATTTGACAAAACCAAACGTTTCGAACTGTACTAGGTTTTCTTCAGTGCGCAGTAATCGTTATGATAATTAAATAAATATAAAAATAAAAATTCTAATACTAAGTCGCTATATAATGTCAAGTAAATTAAAAACTGATGTCAAGATTAAAAGGCGAAATACATTGACATTAAATTTAAATCATCAAGCATAGCTCGACACAAACAGTCCACACTGAGTGCAAAATCATATAACTAATCCAGTTAATCTATATTATTTTAAAATTATTATTAATAACTCAGAGTTATGAATAGATGTTTCATAACATCTTAAAAAACTTGGGGAGAATGGACAAGTTTATTGCCGGACTAACAGCCATTCGCCGATCAACGAAGAGCGGTTGGTTTAGAGCAATTTCGAAGCGCCACTCTGAGTTATTAATAATAATTTTAAAATAATATAGATTAACTGGATTAGTTATATGATTTTGCACTCAGTGTGGACTGTTCGTGTCGAGCTATGCTTGATGATTTAAATTTAATGTCAATGTATTTCGCCTTTTAATCTTAACATCAGTTTTTAATTTACTTGACATTATATAGCGACTTAGTATTAGAATTTTTATTTTTATATTTATTTAATTATCATAATGATTACTGCGCACTGAAGAAGACCTAGTACAGGTCAAAACGTTTGGTTTTGTCAAATTAAAAAAAATTTTTTCGAAGAATTAATAAAAATTTTTGTGCTCGTTACACAGGGCCTAATAATATTTAATAATTTATCATTGTATACTACTAACATTTTGCGAAATTCTATGCGACCAAAATCTGGCGCATCTACATCGCATTATGCGCATGAAATGACATTACGACGATTAAATTTAGGATGGACTTTCCATTAAACTTATGAAATGATATAACACTTTACTTATGCTTTGCTTTTATTCAATTGACGAAAGAAAATATCTGCAATTGCATTTAAAAATTGAGATTTGGTTGTTCGACAAATGCTTACAGTTGTTTATTTTATATGTCTGTGACGTTAAATTGTATTGATAGACTTTAAAAATTTCGTATAGCTAATCGCATATACATATACACACGCAGTCTGTTATGTTTCAGTATAAAGCAATTTTGCAATTAAATGTTAAATTAAAATTTATAGTAATATATAATAATTGATAATTTAAATTTCTGTGAACTGCAATTATAATTTTTGCCGTACTAATATCTTAATAATTTGTGTAATAAAAATGCATATAATAAATTTAATTTTGCAATTGCTGGACAACAAGGAATTAGCATATCAATAATAGTAAATCATACTTGTATTGCATAGACATTTATTCACACCAGATATATTTTGATATATGATAATAAAGCAATATAATTTTTAACATATTACATTTTATATAATCCCAACACCAAAAATATTATTACGTGCAATTTTTCACGATACATACAAATAATATTGCCATAGAATACTTGTAATAAGAATTCTGCTAAAATATATATATAGTGCCATAATCAATTAACCATAATCTTTTGATGTCATAAATTATCTTGAGTATATTGTAGTCCAATGTTAAGATGTTTCTACTACTACTCAGAGGTTTTTAACATCATTTCCTAATCCAGTTACACTATAATAAGCTTTGTAATAAACCTGTTACTGGTTTTAATACTCCACTTATTATTCTTTTAATAAGTCAGGATCTTCTCTCTAAAATACAAAAGAATAGTCAATAAAGTTTAGTTTTTACTTTTTTACACATATACAATATAACTTTGTTTGATATTATACTAACATGTATAAAGATTTATATTGCGATTACAATATATATATATTTATACTAACATGTATAAAGATTTATATTGCGGTTACAATATATATATTTATACTATACATAAATTTTATTTTTGATGCACTACAAAATAACTTTTTACATGCGAATTTTTTATTTCCAAATAAATAATTTTATAAAAGTTGCATGTTAACAAATGTTATAATGTTTCTGTGTATTATTTCATGTACAATATATGCATAATACATACACAATAATTTTCACAAACACACAAAAGAGAACAAATATATAATACTATTTATTTTCTATTTATATATAATATTATACATATAAACAGACGTAAAAGTATATTAATAACTTATAATACAAAATTATCAATTATTAATAAATTAAATGTCTAAATAAAATATTAAAAAATATTAAAAAATATAATTACACACGCACGCACGCACGCACGCACACACATATGTATATATTATTATATTAAATAAAAATGTTATACCTTAAATCGTGAATCAGGATCCGCTGCTGGTTCAGCCATGACGTCAAAAATCGAAACAATCGCAAAAGTAGCAACTAATAAAAACAAATATATTTGGGTATTCATTGTTGCAGACTTATGAAGGATTATGCAGGATCCAAAAATTTTGAATTCTAATATCATAGCTGTAGAATGCCTCAATTTATATAGCAAAAAAATCGTACTTTAGACATTATAAACATTATCTAATCCGAAAAATTTTTATTTTTATTAAGACTATTGAATTTTATTTCAACGTTACATTTTAAATTCAAGATAAAGTTGAATTTATTATTATTATTATATATAAAATTGGTTTAAAATAATAATAAACGCGTCGTTTTAGAAATATTTCGATATTGCATTTATTATATATATATACACATATAGTCATTTATGAAAGATCGTGCAAAAAATATTTTATTTTTGAGATATGAAAAGTAAAATAATTTTATACATTACATTATATTATACTCTTGAATTTTAGATAAAAAATTGTTTTCTAAGAGAGAAATATAGTAAAATTATAATAAAAATTTATAACACGCAATAAGGAAATATGATAATTTCCAATATACAAAAAATACACACACACACACATATATATATATATATATTTATATGTTTATTATATATACCTATATGTACATTTATATTTATTATTAAGATATATATACAGAGTGGGGAGAAAGTATGAAAACCCTGAAAAATCTCAAAAATATAAGTTTAACAGAAAAATGTTTTGTATAAAAGTTGTAAAGCTTAAAACAATCTATTTACTAATCATATCAGTTTGACCTTGAATGACTTTGCCAAGGTCAGAAAAAGGTCATCTTTAATTTTTTAAACGGAAACTAACAATTTTTATTACATATTGTTGTAGCTTATCTCGAGAACTTTCCAAAATTCTATAATAAAGTATTTTTTCATCGAGTATTTTTCAAGTTATAAAGATTTGAAGTTCACAATTTTTTGACAAAATGTAGAATATCTTGTAAGCTATTCAGTTTTTGGTAATCATACCTTAATACTTTTATGTACGGAATAATGAGATCAATTAATTGGTGTAAAGAAACACAATTGCTTTCAAAATAGATGTATGTAATTTACAACATATTTTTTTAAAAGCAACTATGTGTTTTGTTTACATTGATTAATTAGTCTCAGTATTCCGTACATAAAAGTATTACGGTATGATTACTGGGAGAACTGAATATTTTACAAGATATTTTACATTTTATGTCAAAAAATGGTTATCTTTAAATCTTTATATAACTCAAAAAGTACTTACCGAAAAAATGTTTTGTTATAAAATTTTAGAAAGCTCTCGGGATAAGCTACAAGAATATGCAATGATAAATAGGTGGTTCCATTTAGGAAATTGAAGATGACCTTGTCCTAACTTTGGGAACATTTAAGATCAAACTGATAGGATTAATGAAAAGATTTCTTTTAAGCCCTATAACTTTTATAGAAAACATTTTTCTGTAAAACTTATATTTTTTTTAATATTTTAAAGTGTCCATACTTTTTCTCCACCCCCCACCCTGTATATATTCTTATGTATACTTTAATAGATAAGTAATATATTAACTGTGTATGTACTAATTTCAAGCATCAAAGCAAAATTTTGCTTACGCCTCGATTATTTTTCTATAATTTGCTGTATTATACAGGATGTCCCATAACGTGATGTCCATATTAAAATTATGTATTATTGGTGTCATTTTAAATAAAAAAATTTGCATTTGATTCGGAAAAAATTGTGACAACATAAGCAATCGTTTTAACAAATTGATTACTGTTATTCTAAGTGAAAACATCGTATAAACACCTTAAAAATTCATTTTACCACCAATTATGAGCATTTTTTCCAATGAAGAGTATGCCGATATTAACAATAAACTTTAGGTTATATGAGTATTAAGATTTTTTTATTTAGAATGATATCAAGGATACACAATTTGTCGTGTAGACATCAGTGGAACACCTTGGATTTTTTAGTACGTATATACATTTATAATATATATCTATATCCAAATCTATTATATTTAATATCCAAAATAAAATTAATTAATAAAGAATGCAGTAAATAAAGCAGATTTTTTGTCTTCTGATGAGATTTATTAATAAATTATATGTATAAATGTCTTAGGCATTTCAGTCTTTGCACCTTCATCAGCTACTATTAAACAATATAGTACACAATAAAAACGTATCATAAAGGTTAGAATTTCATATATAAATAAAATTACATACATGAATCAAGATGAATAGTCTGTTCTTGCGCTATCTTAGCGATATCTACGGATAATCGTAAGCTATCTCTCTCGCAAATGTTGAGAAAAAAAATATTTCGATTTGGAAACATTACAATGTCCGATTATTTGACAAAAGACACATATTAACGATTGCTATTTGTTTGTCACGTTAGTTTTTATTGATGGACACACATAGTTTATTATGTTTCAATACAATTTGACAATTAAGTTAGACTTGCAACATAAATGAGATTAGTTTGCTATTTTTTCGAATTGCAGAATTTTGTGTATATTATTTTTATATTTTATATATTACTAACATCTAAATTTTTAAATAACGGTTTATGTGACAAAAAATATAATAAATTTTATTTTGTAATTGCAGGATAACAAGGGATTAACATATAAACCATAAATCACACTTGTATAGTATAGACGTTTATTCATACAAGATGCCTACAAAATATTTTTTATTTAGATATGAGTAATAAAATAATTTCTCACATTACAATCACACTTTGTGAGATAAAAAATTGTTTTTTAAGAGAAAAACGTAACAAAATTATATAAAAAATTGTATTGTACATGCAATAAAAGAAAATAATACACACAATGTTATATATACATCAAAGTAATTGGACTAAATAATGTAACAGCATTAAAAAATTTTAATTACGCGAATATATTACACTCCTTTCTTTAAAGCACACCAAGTTTCGATTCGTTTTCGATTCGGTTGCGTTTATGTGTATTATTATTTTTTATAAATTAATATCATCATTTTCATTAGACATAGAGCGATAAAGTATTAAACAAAGTAATGTAATTGAATGGTTGCGTTAATAAATTACAAGAGAAAACGCCACGGATTACTATAAAAAGTTAAAAAAAGTATTTTATAATTATGCTTTATCACATGCTAGGTTTTTCTAATACACGATTCATCTTCAATCCTTTTGCAGTCTTCCAAAAACATTTGTTGAAACCCAAAAACCGGAGCACGTGATAAAACATGATCAAATGTTTCTTTAAATTTTTATCTTTTTTTAACTTTTATCTTTTATCTTTGTTCAATATTTTGTAGCTCTATAACGATTACATATACAGCGAACTAGATAAAGAGCAGATTCTTTGTCTTTCAATGAGATTTATTAATTAATTATATAAATGTATGCGTTTTGGTTTCTGCATTGTCATAAGCAATTATAACATTAAACAAAACAAAAACGTAATATTAAACAATATATGAGACAATAAAAACGTAATATAAAGATTCAACTTAACTTTGTATGTAATAAAAATAAGATTAATAATTTCAGATTAATATCTTTTTCAACGAGATGCGATTTACTTTTGCCATTTGAATTGCCATTTTACTAATGTTGAAATAATAGTTTATACATATAATAAAAAATATTTTAAATTAAATTTTGCGATTAATATAACAAGCAATTAATATCAGTCATAAAACATATTTGCGTAGCATAGAATTTATTAATACAGGATATATTTTAATTTAACAATAAAATTATATAATTGTATATTATATTTTATATAATTCTAATATCAAAAATATTATAACATACAATTTTTTAATATGATATTAATAAATATTAATATTACTAAAAATATTCGTAATAATTGAAACTTCTGTCAAATATATTATATCATAATTACTTATGCGCATAAATTTTTATGCTATAATTAATATTAAATATAATATATATATTTTAATTTTACATACTACAGTGCAAAAAGGAACATTAAAAGTAACGTAAAAAGATCCCATAGCGGATGAGTTAAGCAGAAAAGAATTACAAATATACGCAGCATAAAATGAAATAAACACCTCTGAAATGCAAGAAAATAAATAAATTTTAATTTATTATTTTGTATGTACATATATATATATATATATATATATATATATATAAAATATATAAAAGATATTGCAATTATACAATATACAATACTTTATTATTGATACACTAACAATAAGTACAAGATAATTTTTTTACGTAAGGATAATTAAATAAATAAATAAAAAACTTACTATTTTAGCATTTTGTACTACTTTATAAATTATTTTACATACACACGCAATCCAATTACCGTATATATAATTTGTAACGAAAACATTAAAGGGTATATAATATTTATTTCATAATATCATGTGAAAATTAATAGTTATTTGTTAAGATAAATTATTAATTATTAATCATTAATAATTAAATGTGCAAACATATTATCAAATAGAAAAAAAAATATATAAATTTTATACCTTAGATCGTGAGAGTGGAGCAGGATTTGTTTCAGCTAAGGGATTAGCTATAACATCAGAAATCGAGAGAACCGTAAAAACAGTAACTAACAAAAATGGGTACATTTTAATATTCATTTTTGTAAAAATTTAATGAAAATCTAATTCAATGTTTTCAATTCTAATATCATATCTTCATAGTACCTCAATTTATATAGTCTCAAAAAATCGTGATCTGGACATCATAAACATTATATCTAATCCGGAAAATTCTAACATTTATTAAGACTATTGAATTTTATTGGAGCGTTACTTTTTAAAACTCAAGATAAAAAGTAGGAATTATTATTGAATGTAAAATTCAAATTGTATATTATATAACTGTACATTAAACAAAGTTATACAATTTGCGTTAAATTATAAGAGAACGCCACGGATTGTTATTTTGAATTAAAAGTTGGTAATCATGCTTTACCACATGCTTGGGTTTTTATCTAAGCCAATCATACAATCAAATCCAATCATACAATCTCTATGTGGTGCGCTTTGGGTGAAGCTGATGTCGACGGTAATTTTAGAACTTATATACAACTTTATATTTTCTAAATTTTATGTTAAAGCAATTAAAAGATTATGTCAGAAAGTAGAGAAAAGATTGTTCTGTCACACATTTTACTTTTTTAAAATGTTTTATCAAATCAAATCAAGATTTTTTAACATATATTGTACATATCGATCATTTTAAATGTACGGATCATTATAAAAAAATTATAGCAGTAAGTCTGTGATTTTTTGTCAAGTTTGGGGTACTTAGGAGCCACAAAATTTCAGTCAATAAAATTTTGTTAGTTACTTTACGTAACTTTTTTTCAGAGTTTAAACAGAGAAAATTCGCGAATTTCTTTGTTATTTTTATATATTTGTAAAAAGTTCACAAATTAAAAAAAATGTAGTCACTATATCGTATTATAAAGCAAAGATTCAGCTTTAAGAATCCATTATTAAAATTGTTATACGATGATTTTTAACGGAGTTATGAATAATCAAAGTGAAAATGACCATTCACTTTTCAATTTGTTGATAAGAAAAGATTGAAATTTTAATTTAAAAAAACGGTTTTGTAGGGAAAACTTCAGCCTTTAACATTAAAATGTTTGAAATTTTTTTCATATCTTCTTGTGCATGCGACAAGTTTACAAAGTAAGAAGAAAATTTTCAATTTTGTTATGTTTGTTGTTTTTCGTAAAAATATATCAAAATTGAAGAAAATAAAAAAGCTATAACCTTTTGAAAGTAGAGATTTCAAGCTTAAAAATACTTTTTTAAAATTTAAATTCTTATATTTGAAACAAAGTTACAGCTATTTAAAATTTGCCTATTTTGTGGATAATTTTTTTATCCCTTAATTATTTTGAGGAGTGTATAATAAAAAATATTTTAAATAAAATTTTGCAATTACTTGGTAATAAGAGATTAATATCAATCACAAAACGTATTTGCGCCGCATAGAAATTTATTAATACAAGATATATTTTGATATATAATAATAAAATAATATAATTTGCATATTATATTTTACATAATTCTGATCAATAATTCTATTAATATATGATTTCATGTAATTTTTCATACAATACTATAGTTAATATTAAAAATAGTAAGAATTCTCGTAATAGTTGAGAATTTTACCGAATATGTTGCCATAATCACATAAGTTTTTTCTGCCATAGTTAATTTCAAATACATTTGAGATTTAAATATTAGTTTTATTCATCACAGAAATAATGATAAAAGTGCATTATAAAGCAGGGTATAGGTAACAATAAGCACATAATGTGTGAACTGAGCGCCATAATAACTTCAATTAGACTTCTCTGAAAACAAATAAATAGATTTTAATTTATTATTTTGTATGTAAATATATATAATATTTATATATTATATTATATTATATTTATATTTCATACATTAAAGTATATAAAAGGATAACGCAGTTATGTAATATAATTTATTATTGACACATTAAGTATAAGATAATTTATTATGTAAGAAGGGTCTAAACGTCTTGATTTAATAATAAGTCTTAGTAATAATAAAATATTTTTATGCCAATTGGATCGTCAATTTTGTTTATTTATTTTATCATTTACTGGCGAGACAAAGATTCACTGATTATATTTTATTATGTAAGAATTAATAATAAATAAATAGAAAACTTACTATTTTAGCATTTTATACTGTTTTTATGAATTATTTTACATACACACGCAATACAATTATCGTATAATATATATAATTTGTAACAAAAACTTCAAAGAATACTATATTACTGTAATACTATTTATTTTATTATATTATATAAATATAAAAGAATATTAGTTATTTGTAAAGACAAATTATTAATCATATTAATCATTAATAATTTTAAATATGCAAATATAAATATTAACAAAAATAGAAAAAATCACATATTAAAGAAAACCTTTTATACCTTAGATCGTGAGAGTAAAACAGTATTTGCTTCAGCTGCTGGATTAGCTATAACATCGGAAATCACAACCGCAAAAACAACAATTAACAGAAATAGATATATTTTGTTATTCATTGCTGCGTAAACTTACAAAAGTTCAATCAAAATTTTTGAATTCTAATACTATATCTTCATAGTACCTCAATTTATATAGTTTCAAAAAATCGTGATGTGAATATCATAACATATAACATTATCTAATCCGGAAAATTCTAACATTTATTATGACTATTGAATTTTATTTAAGCGTTACTTTTTAAAACTCAAGATAAAGAGTAAGAATTATTATTAAATGTAAAATTTAAATTGTATATTATTTAACTGTGTATTAAACAAAGTTATGAAATTTGCGTTAAATTATAAGAGACCGCTACGGATGGTTATGCTAAATTAAACAAAGTATTTGGTAATTATGTTTTATCAAATGCTTAGGTTTTTACTAATATGCGGTTCATCTTTAATCGTTTTGAAGTCTTCCAAAAATATTTATTGTCACCAAAAAACCGCAGTACATGATAAACATGATCACCAAATGCTTTTTTAACTTTTATCTTCTTTTAACTTTTCTTTTTATCTTTGTTTAATATTTTGTCGCTCCGTAATGATGATAAATACGGCGCGGACCAGATCGACAAAACGCCGATTCTTCGTCTTTTAATGAGATTTATTGATTAGTTATATAAATGTACATAATTCGCGCGTTTTAGAGTCTTTTCTGCATTGTCATGAGCAATTACAATATTTTAAATAATATATGCGACATTAAAAACATAATATAAGAATTTGAATTTCATATACAAGAAAATTATATATATGAATCAAGATATTGTGTATATTCTTCCACGATCTCAATGATGGATGATTGCACCTATTTTCTTCCAACTTATTCAGTCATTAAGAAAAGAAATACCAGTTAAAAATTAATTTTTGTAAATAATAATTAAAAATTAATTTTTAATTATTATTTACACATTTATTTATCATTTATTTTTTACTGTGACAACGCATGTAATTATTTTTTGTAATGCCAGTCACGAAAGTGAGAATTTCGATTGCTGTTTAGCGTGCGAATGATGGCTTATTATTTCTTATAACGATTCAATGTTAATGCTTATCTTATTATATGCAATTTCGTCTTTTCGCTATAATTTTAAAACAATCGACTTTAAGGCATATGTGTATTAAGACTTTTTGACTTATTGTTAGAATGATCCCAAGAATACAAGGTTTAACTGTGGACATCACGTTGCGGGACACCCTGTATATATATATATATATATATATATATATATTCCATATTTTATTTTAATTTATTATCTTACGTATCTGTTATTTTCTATTTGTCAGATATTATCAACAGTTGCTTTCTATGCATGGTGCTACAACTCAAAACTAACTTTAAATACACGTAATACGTGATTTGTGACATTGTCATCTATAAACATTTGATAAATGAAAAACTATTATAAATATATTATTTATAGATCTTCTTATTGGACTTTTTATTAATAATAATACATTTTAATTTTATAAGTTATTTGATTTGTATATATGTACTTATCTTATAACTAAAATATACTATAATTTATTTATATAAAGTTTGAATTGTTATTTTATTGACGTCAATATAATATTGTAGTTCATATATGTATAATAAAAAATATTTTAAATCAAATTTTGCAATTACTATTGGTAACAAGAGATATTAATCATAAAATGTATTTGCGCTGCATAGAAATTTATTAATACAATTATTTATATATTTTGATAATATATTTTGATATATAACAATAAAATAACAATTTGCATATTATATTGTACATCATTTTGATCCAAATATTATTTCATGTAATTTTTCATACAATACTATAGATAATATTAAAAATAATAAAAATACTCATAATACTTGAGAATTCTGCCGAATATGTTATGCCATGATCACATAATTTCTTTATGTCACAGTTAATTTCAAATCCATTTTAAATATTAGTTCCGTTTTAGTTTCCGTTTTCAAATTTCCGTTTTTAATTTTGTTTAGGGTGTTCAAGCTCTTAAAAGTTACGTGAGTTATCTTATATATAGGTATATATGGCAGATTCCAGCGATAATTTGGAGACGATTTTTCCTCAATGAAAATGTCAAAATATCAATAATTTTCAAGTTATAAGCGATTAAAAATAAAGAGTTTTTTGCAAACTAAGTGTTGTCTTGTAAAAAAATAATATATTAACAAAATCACATTTTTTAAATAATTTTATGTAGAGTTTATTTTAATAGAACTTTAATTTAAGGCTTAATTACGAAGATACATGATAGCAAAAATTGAGAACATGCAAAAATGATGGCTCTCTTCGACATTTTCGCTAAGGAAAAATTGTCTTCAAATGATCCTAGGAATCTACCATTAACAAGTTTAATATCAATTTTGAAACATCCTATATACATATGTATGTATGTATATTATCTTCATTTCTGCAAGTTTGTAAAAAATAAAAAATTTATTTTGTCGTGTTCTGTTTTTGAGATATCACAATTTAATACAACAAAAGTCGTGATCTTCTGATCGTATTCTACGCATTGTCATGTATATAAACTTAATTATCTAATCTAAAAAATTATAAAACTTATTAAATCTTTAAATATTAAATTTTATATGTATTGTTTTTAGGACTAAAACAATGTTAATCGAATTAAATATAAAATTTGAAAAAAAACCGTTAATGAAATTGGCCCAAAATAATCTAATAAGCTAATTTATTATTATATTATTATTTATAAAAATTTTTATCTATATATATATATGAATTGTACATGTATTATCTGTTTACCATCAAAGATTTACAGTAATTGAAAATGTTACTAACAATAAGAATAAACATGGATTTTATTGCGAATAAAATATTATTTAAAAACATATTAATTACAATAACATTTCTATTAAAACTTAAGCTATAATCCAATCGTGAAAATAAATCAAGATATTCCTAATGATGTAAATGCACTTAAGAGCTTTGCATAATATTTCATACAGCGCATTGCTTAATACTCTTAATCTCTTGTCGATAAACAGCCAGTACTTATTTTAAATTATTGCTCGTATATTACATTTTTTAAACATGTCTTTCTATTTTAACAATACTTTCAAATAATATGAAATAATTTTATTTATATATTTTGGTAACAGTTGTACACTATATAATCATTGATTTATATCGTCAAGAATTTTGTAGTTTGATTACTTTATTTAATTTGTGTAACATAATTTTTTAAGATATTTTTTTATATTATCTAACCCGGAAAATTTTTAATTTTGTCGGATCTTTATTAAACTTTTTATTTAAAAATTAATATAAAATTTACGATAAATAAACAATATTTATTGTTAAATATAAAATTGCGGGAGGAAAATAAGCATAATATTTAGATATGTATGTGTATGTATATAAAAGCGAAAAGTTCACTTTTGAAGTACATATAAAGAATAATAACTATAAGGTATTTACAGAGGTTTGTTTTATCACGTTTTTTATCTTTTATTACATTATTTTATTACGTTGTTTTTCACACACACTCGTTGCAATTATTTGAAAAAAGTTTTATGTTCTGCGTTACACTTCGAACATATTTATTTTTAGAGTTTATTGCCACATACACATTTAAAGTTTAATATTCTGCGTTACATTTTAAATATCTTTTTAGCTTTTGTCACATATTCATATATTATTCATTATATATTTATTTATTTTTTGTATAAGTAGTATTAATTGCAAAGAAGTATTTCAGCTCTAATAATAACTATTGTTATTATTTTGACATAAAAATGTGAAGAAAAAAAACAAACGCTGAGAAGCCAAAGTTCGTCGGAGTTGGAAGCTAAAACAAGGCTAAATAAATAGCAACCGGACTGGATCGCTGAAAATAAAATGCGATAAAATAAAGGGTGGCCGGTTGAGCTTGTGAGAAAATGGTAGGAGAACCGAACATGAGACTGAGAAGGTTGCAAGAAGCATTTCTCGTGCGAGCAAGAGAGATGGGATAGGATCTTGTTAGCCCTGAACTTGAACACGAGAGTGCCTGGTGATCCTCTGTGGTGATCTTAAATGCAAGGCTGGACCTTCTACCTATATTTTTACGAAAGAGTCGAGGAAGAATAAAAACCTTCACGTCATAATGTCATGATTTAATTAAATAGTACGTGTATTTTCGTTCTATTTATATTATATATATATATATATATATATTTATATATATTTATATTACATATATTTTGCCAAAAGATACAAAAATAAAATATAATAAATATATCTCAATTAACAGAAAAACAAGCTACAAAATGCCATGTTGAGATATTGAGAATTAATTACCATTAAAAATAGAAATAGGACTTGACAAAATAAATTTCGGATGTGTACCTATATAGCATTTTCTTTTTCAAATAATTACAGCTGGGTTTTGTATCAACAGACCGATTCTTCAAGATATCATGGTGGAGACCACTGGAAGACGTAGAATGACATGTATTACTGTCGACAATTGAAACCCGCTTTTACCGCTCCTGCACATGCACACTTCCGGTAAATTGTATACGTTTCTCAGTTCCGGCTATCTTCAGCACAACGGATACTTGGGAAATAATCTGGAAAACGGTGTCGTCAATCTGTCTTGTGCGACCAGTCATCGTTGCACTTGCAAAATGCGATTTATAGCAGATTCATCTTTCTCTTTTTCTTTTTCTTTTTCTTCTTCTTCTTCTTCACTTATGTATCTATAAACGGACACGGAGAAAACAGCTTTCAATTTGACAGACGCATCAGCTGGTTGCTCTAAACGCCAGCTTATATAGAAATGCTTGGCAAACGAGTTGTGGACAACTAATAGGTCAATAAAATCGCACGTAGGGCGAGACGTGATTGAATTTACGATGTTACCGGAAAGTTTCACGTATGCAAATGCATGTGCGTTAAAATCGAGATGGAGTAGCTATATCCTTCTATCAGAAAAATAGCTGTGGTTCAATTGCCATCGGCGCTACCTTCTTGAAATCTTTACAATGTACTTTAAATTTAAGATCCGTCTGACGCGTCTTTCGTTTGAAAACATTTCTCAAGCACGTTCATAAACACAATTCGCGACTAATGCAAACGTTTCGATTCTTAATTGCACATAATGATGTGTACCATCATGGAGATGAAGCACGTTTATTCCGAAGGATACTCTTCGTGTTTAATCATCTATGTTTAAACTCTGTAATTCGAAATCATACAGACTTGCGATTCTGCATTCGAAGGATTAAAATGTTCCATAATATGCGTTGATTAAATACACATCTGTATTAATTTCATTCTGTATTCGCATCGTGAAACATCCTTTGCTTTCGAAACATCCATCTATTCGATTGTAATCGTATATAATTGTTTTTATTTTAACTGCTCTGTCCAGATTGAGCGCGTAAAAATGCGGAGAAGACGGAAACGCGTGCTCGACGAACAGTTGCCACGGAAGAACGTAATAACAGGGCCGTGATTCTATTTGGCTCGATTGACCAATTAAAGAGTGCCGCGGCAAACGACGGGCGATTAATCTCGACGTCGCGTCGCGAAATGGAGGGCTGTTCGCGAAAATCTCCGCAGAGGTGAAACAGAACTCGTATCCGACATAGTTCAGTCGACTCACGTAATGGTTTAAATCGCTCGTAAATCCTGTAACGCTCCTTGCGTTATCCTCGCGTGAAATTATGTCGTCGGCGACATTACGGAATGCCGATTGCGCAAGAACAATTAAGTTCGTTAGAACGATGAGCGCGAGAAAGTGTGAAATAATGTTGCGCGCGCTTTCATCCATTTGTTCCTTTGTCGAGGAACGCTTGACTTTTTTTATGTTATATCACTTTATTATTAGGATATCTTCATTGTTAGTCAATCGATGAAAATCGCAATTCAGCAATAGTTATACAGCATTTCTATGTCAGCTATCAGATTTTAATACCTATACTGCGAAAAGAATAAAATGAAACGTAACTGGAGAACAGGAGGAATTTTTGCGAAAATTACGAGAGCTAAATTTCGTAACAGATTTTAGCAAGCAAGCTTAAGGAATCGCATTGTTTCGAAGCATCGCGAACTTCTTGTCATCTCGAGGATATCGTTTCGAGCGATTTCTCTCTTTGCGATGATTTCTATCGTAACCTTCATTCATATGTTGGAAGGAGAGAGAAAGAGATCGCAATTTTATATTATTGCCACATCACGTCGTGCTTTTTTACACAGTGATATTGCTCGATTGTCCATGTGCCAGTAACGACGAGTATTATTTAAAGCTTCCTGCGAGTTCCACTTTGCGTGAAAGGAAGAATTATTATTTGCGGTTCTCTCTCTTTTCCTCTCTCTTTCTGTCTTTCGAGCTACTACCAGCATAATTCTAGACCCCATATTGACCCAGACCGCATGAGCTGAATGCACTCTACCGTCTCGCACGGTGCTCGGGATCATTCATGAGCAAAGACATGTTAATCACTTGAATTATTGCGCGAGAGTTTCTCGAGTGCAAGAATATCATCTCCGTAGAAATGACTCAAATTCACGAAAAAAAAACTGGAACAACAATTTTTTTTAATGAGAAGAGAATACGAAAGAAGATTACTTAATTATTGATATTTTTTGAAATGGAATATATGGAAATCCGGGCGGAATAAAATATCGGTCACGGATGCTGGAAAGACGCATCGATCTTTTCGCAAGGTATTTCGCGAAAAGCAGATTGCGCGCTTGCGCGAAGAGGATGCGAGTTCCGAAGGGATTCTTGTACGACCTGATATCCCTTCTCTCCCATCTTCGCCCGTTCATCATTCCCGTGTGTCTCGACTCCTCGACTCCTGGCGATTGCATGCTGCGGCAGGATTCTTGACTCTGTCGCACACATTACCGAGCTGATCTACGATTGCGATGTAAAAAATACTCGTTATCAGGGTATTATCTCTCGCTAAAAGATCTGAAATAATCTTCTTTAGAAAAATATATGGTTTATAAAGACAATCTATTAAAGAAAATCTACAAAGAATAAGAAGAAATCCTGTAATCAAACCGAGGAAAATCCATGTAAATATCCTTATCATCGTGACGCAAGCAAGTTTTCGTTCGCGCGAAGATCATAAAGTATCGAAGTCACGGGAATCGATAAGATCATAATATTTAGTATTTCTGTCGCAATTCCGCGTCATTGTAACTTTTGTCCTCGCCTGATTGAAGGATTACGGGCTGGATCATCCATCGTCAGACAATTGTGATATCGCAGGCTTATGTACACTTGGATCGACAGACAAATCGATCGACGTTATATCGAAGGTATATATCGTTCTCCTGTCAGCCACCTACCCGTCACTTTTGGGTGTCGATTGACGAGTGCGGCGGGCATTGAAATTGGAACCGTGTCGCCGGAAGTGAGGCTTCCAATAATGACGAGTACACATAACGAGCAGGCGAGCTCGCGATCCCCATTTGCCGGAGCCGCAAACAGGAAACCCCATCATTCGTTAATTCGGCACTCGCGCACTCGATATAATTATGATGAAGCCAATTAATGGCGCGCTGGAATACGGATACTTAGGCAAGCCGGATCATTGATCAATGGGAGATTATTGATATCGGAACCCACGTTACGTGAGCACGGTGTGAAGTAGCTCCAACGTCATGGTATTTAAATGGGAGATGTCTGGAACTCTGCTCGTCAGACCGTGAATCGGTTCGCACGAATCGTGCGAGCGCCGCTTCTACGCCCTTCGCATTGTTTCAAATTGATTAAAAAAGAGCGTCCTGCGTTAAACGGGATGGAGATAACGTCGAAGTTAAAGGGTTATTGATATGAACACAAGTGGCTATCCCTCTCTCCCTTAGACTACTTCGATACTTTCGGTAATATACATATATCTCTGATAAGAATATATTTAAAGACTCATTCATTTTAATTATATTAATGTGTTATTCAATTATAATAGGTTTATCAACTTTTTTCATTTATATCAAGAGAACCATTTAATATTTATCAAGAGAACTCTTTTTATATATAAATTTATAAAACAATTTTATAAACTAAATTAATTCGAATAAAATTAGAATCTACTTCATCGTGGAAAAGATTGAAAACGGAAGTGTGAGGCAAGTATAACTTATGATTAAAAATTACACGATTTTTAAAATTTTTATAAATTAATTTATGAACACTCTTAGGTCTTCGTTAAAATGTGGGCAGATACATTTTGTGAATATTCTGTGGAATAAGTGCAAACAAAATTAAGATGTAAGAAACATGTCACAGAATGCAATTAAATTCTACTATTCAGTCTTTAAGTCGTATTCCAAATCTCTGTGCATAATTCTCCACAAACTGGCTTTCTTATAAGATAAAATTTTTCTTCATTTTACATGACGTCATCTGCACGTGTTTCATATAATTAATTTTTGTATGTATATGTTTAATTATTCTTACTCGATATACGATTTCATTCTTGATGCATATTAATGATTCCGCGTTGCTTGCTTCAAATGGCACATCCAGACGATCTTTTTTCAGGAGCAATGTATATATGTATAGATGAATAATAGTTATTTTATTCACATATAAATCAAAGTCTGCGCCACGCGCGGCCGGCTTGTAAATATTTCCGAAATAAATTATCTTAAACACTACGGACGCGCGTAATTTTCGCGTCCTGAACACTTCCGACAGTTTTCGTTTATACGACAGTCGACATTCAGTATCGCATTTCCATGCGATCCGTTAGAAATTTCTCACGCTTGCCGATAATAATTAGCGTTAAATTGCAATTTCACGAGAACGCGTCGGCTCGATTTCCTCTTCCAGTCCTTCGGTAATAGCACGGATCGATGGTTCGATATTTCTTCATGCTTATTCCATCGGAATCGGTGTCAGGGCGAGCTATTCGATCGCTCGATCGACGTGCGAGCGATCTTACGGCACGCCTGCTGTCTAATTTATAAGGCAACGATATTTCGCGAATAGAAATAGGCGCGAATGGTCCTCTTTATCCCGTAAAAGTCGGTCGTTTACGCGAGATAAACGTAACGCTTTACGATGCACTTGCGAAACGTATAGTTATTCCTCGCAGCATCGTTCAAGCTACGGCTCCGAGATCGGAAACTCAAGTTTCCGAGGAGGTAGATTGGACGCTAATGATCGTTTAATCTCCACGCCCCCAGGAACACGCTTAAAATTTGAACCTTGGCCGGTGTCACGGAAGGAGGCTGCTCCTCACCGGCCTTTTGTTGTAATCGTCGTCGATGTCGTGGAGATCCGGTGGGTCCGCGAAACCGCTGTCCTCGTAACGAGTGCAGCGTGAACCGGGCGATCTTGGGGGATGGACCGGATGAATGCTATGATTTAGAAAGGAATATAAAACCCCCAGAATAACGCGAGCTTTGCGAGCTTGAGATATAAAAAATACAGAAAATAATTTTCGCAACAATTGGATGTCTGTTGATATTGAATATTTGTTTTCTTGATGTGCAAAAGTCGCGCATCATAAATTTAGAGAATTATATATAATAGCAGATTTGAGAGAAAATTTGAATTGTAGAAAATATAAGGCGACGTAAAATAATTTCGCGCACTCTTACCTACTTCCTATTTTAATTTTTACCTGGTGCATCTTGAAGGACTCGTTTCCAAAGGCTCATCATATCTGCGGGACAGCATCGTAAAGTCGCGATGAGCAGCGACCATTTTCTGCAGCCGCGAAATGATCTCGTAATCGGAAGTGCAGATTGGCTCCGACAATAGCTTCGCCACGGAGACGCGGAAGCTCTGGAGCTGAGACAGGAAATGAATGATTTGCGAATTGAATCTTGCTCACCCAAGTGTTAACTTTTCTATCCGCCGCACATTTTGCGAGACAGATAATTGTTTCCGTACATATTTAAATGACGAAACAAGTATTTTGATTTGTAGAATATCATTCTTTATAAATATTTTTTTCTAATATAGAAATACTTATAGTATAAAATATTATTTTGGAAGAGTAGATATGTTACGTGTAATAAAATTTAGAAGAATAATTTTTGTAGCTCTATTGACTCTAGTAGCATTGATCAAATTTTTCCGATGAATATATATAATGATATTTTTCCTCTATATTTATAACATTTATATAACATTTTATTATACAAATGTAACCAAATGCAGCAAGAGTACAATATTATAATTAGGACACTCGGTCCTACTTTGCGCATAATTTATTATAATTAATGGTACCTTGTTCTGTGTCTCTAAATTAAAGTTTTGCAAATTAAAATGAAAGTTCTACATTTCAGAAAGCAAAGTTGCAGGCAACGACGTCGAGATAAAGTTTCGTGGTGTTATATGCAAGATTCACAGTCCTTTCACGGAGTACGAGCTTAAATCGAAGGGACTATCTGCTTTACAGGCCGGCGACGCTCGCGAACGTGTCTCGAATTACGGCAATGCAAAGTCACTTGAAATCGTCCTGAACGAGCATTACGCGTTCCCGACGAGAGAGATCGCAATCACGCGAATGGCTGCCATCGCGCGAGTCATTGAGATTGCCACAATGAATTAACGAGCCTCTTTGGCCTGTACCTCTTCGGAGTATTAGAAATAAGCTCGGCGCGCTTGCAGACGTGCTTTAATAAGAGATCAAAGTGTTTTGAACTTGCAACGGAAGATCTGCGGATTATGGTTAGAAATGGCGAGATAACTTTCACGCAGAGAATATATAAAATACCAATTGCTCTCTATCATAATTAATTTGGTTTTCGTAAAGGATTAAAGAGAAACTTCTCTTCTCTGAGAGGAAATTTAATATATTATTCTATTTAGTATATATTATATTAATTATGTTATTTATAGTAGATATATTATTTAACAATAATTTATGTATAAAAATCGAGAAGAAAAATATATATCTAGGACAGTCAGAGGCTGTCGTCGTTTTTGCAGCAACTTGTTTTGCGCATTTCAATTCGCGTTCGTGCGCAAGAATAATCATAAATCAGAATTACGGGAATATATCAATACGCGTGCCGAATACACGATTCGACATTGAGACACGCGTTTCACCTTATGCATTTTTTTGCCAGCACACAAGACGTAAGCATTCCCTGACGTTAATCGTCAATTTATTCAGCATCCATGTTTCTCCCGACAATTTCAATTTCATTTTATTTTATATTTTATGTTAAAGTGGAACAGGGCGCGAACTTGTAAAGGCGAAGCGAGATTAAATAGCAGGCGACGAAAGCAATAACATATATATGTATCTCACCTGGGATTCTCTCCTCGTGACGTCGGAGAGATTTTGCTTAACCTGAGTGAGCTCGTCGCGAAGAAGTTGCAAGGAATGGTCGTTTATCGATCTTTCCTGATCGGCTGTCTCCACGGTAGTCCTCATCTGCTCCTTCGCCATCGTCAATTTTCTGTTATAACGCGTTCTCAACATCTCGCTCTCGACGAGACGCTTCTGCAGCTCGTCTATCTTACGGCTGCGTTCCAGCGCGGCTATCTGCTCGCAGAAAATGCGATCAAGTAGGTTAAAACGTCTGATGGATAGGTGCAAGAATATGAGATATTTTTGCGCGACCAAAATTCACTCAGGAATTTTGTTTTCCCGATATACGTCGCTTCGTGATCATGAGAATATAAAATCAGTTTAATATATATAAATTGAATCTCTTCAAATTTGAAAAACATTTATCTTCTGCTTTTTTTATAATATATATATATATATATATATATATATATATATTGTATATACTCTTAATGAAATTATTTTATTGTTATCATACTTATTATATCATCTATTAAATATATTTATTTTAGTATAATAGAAATAAAATTTGACGAAATGATAATAAAAATAATTAACAATCTAGTATCGTGAGTATAGGCAAAAACAATGTATTGCTTTTGCATGCAATTGTCATTAATCATACAGTCGTGAAAAAATGCCATGCCTATATTTTGCGAAGCAACATATTCGGATTTATCTAATTATAAGGAAGTACGGAGTCTCGTAAATTATACGTGCCTTATAATCTGCGGCTTCCGTCAATTGTGCGCTCAACTCTCGATTCCGCGATTTTTCGTCCGACAATTGGATTTGCAATCGCTCGACCTGTTTTGCTAGCTTCTTCGCGCTGAAAGAGAGGAAGAAAAACTGCTCGCACTTTTTCCTCATTTTATTTTATTTTTTTTATATCTTTTTTCTTTCGATCCCTTCGCGCGTCGAGCATCGGGAAGCGACGAACATATAAAGAGAAATGCATTCAACGCATTTGGAGTAAACCGCGAACCGCGAAACAGGAATTATGGGTGACCGTCGACGTGGAAAAATTACGTCGCATTTTCGAATACATAAAGTTGCGCGCCAGTTAAATTTTCCAATAAACCGCAGTTCCATATTTCTCTCATTGGACAGCCAGTCGATAGGCATTATTGTTTTCCCGCTGACATGTCGCATCCGACAGATAGATGGAAGATTCGAGGTCAATTGTAACGCGGATTAATTGTTGCAACAATTCGGAATGATAGTTTCAACTCCTAAACACTAGACAGAAGACGAATGAATGATTTTTACAAACTTTATCTCTGGCTCCCGAATTTCTCGCGATTATTTAAATTATTCATTTGCGCGTTTTATATGCGACAGACAGCGCGATTAAATAATGGTCTCGCGCAAATAATAATTTCTATAAATTATTCAATGTAAGTTCAAAATTCATATGTAAGTTCAAAATTTGTTACAAGCGGCTCCGGGCTATTCTAAAACAAACCGTATGTTCGCCTCGTCGCGTTCGCTCTGCAACAGAGATTTCATCCTCACGCTGTCTTCTTGCAGAGATAATTTTCTGCGTAGAAGATCCAGATGTAAGTCCCTTCGCTGCAATTGCTCCCGTAAAGTTCGGACCCGACGTTGCAACTGATAAACCACGGAAGTCTGCGTGACAGAAAGAAAGAAAAATTTACGCATTTGTCAAAATACTTCTTTCTCGATGACACAATCATTTTCCGGGTGTGACACATAAAGTGTGTGCAAATGTACAGAAACGCAAAAATGTGCCGGGTTCAAATTTTCTCGTGCAATCATCGATTTGCGTTTGAGGAGTATTACTTGATGAAGGATAAACCTAGATATTAACTTGTGAAATAAAATAATATAATATAATAGTGAAATTTCTTATATGTGATATATATGATTGCCTAAAAATATATACATACAATACAATAATTAAATGCACGATAAGTGTATAAGAAAATAAATGTTCATAAAATGAGAAAAGGCTCTTTGAAAGAGAAAAGATCTTTTTTATATCGACATGTTATCGGAGATTATTTAATTAAAAGTTGCTGCAAGCGTCCTGTTTTACGTTGAAAAGAGCGGCTGTAATATCGAATAACGCCGCAGGCAGCTAGATTAAATGGAACTTCATTAAACGATAAACTGTCAATTTGAAGCAACAATTACGCGCCGCACAAGCAAAGCCTCGACCAGCATCCAATTCAGCCGTACAGAGAGTATATATATCGGGAAACCTAGAGGAACGGAGAAATAAGAAAAGCACCTCTCTCTCTTTCTACATGAAATATACGCCACGGAAGAACGAAATGAACGTCTACGAGGAGGATGTCTGAGAATGCTGTAAAGCTTCTCTCTAAGGCGCTTTGCTCGCGCCGAGGCGAGGGCTTACTTCTTTGAGACAAGGAAGCTCGTGGAACGATCGCTCGCGCCGAATCCTCGGTAGGGTCGTATAGCTGGAGCACAAATACTGCGGGCGTGCGGTAAGCACACGATTTGCACGACAAAGAAACACAGAACAAAGGAGAAGAAGTTAGCAATGTGACAGCGGCATCGGGAAGACGTAATATCGATCGTGTCCTTCACCTTGTCAACCAGCTTGTCGGTCTCTAGTCTGGCTAGCTGCTCGGCCCGCACCAACAGCGACTCCGTCAGAAGATCGAGCCCGATTTCTTGAGAGATCTCGTCCATCTGCATCGCCTTGCCGAGTCGGTCCAAGAAGGTCACAAACTGGAAAATGTATAGAACAACAAGAAGTTACATTTGGAAGAAATATGAATAGTTACGTATAAATAGAGAGATGTTTTGTATCTAATTAAAATTGATTAAAGTATTACTTTAGAGATTGTGTCTTTACAAGTAGAGATTTAATATTTTACTTAATTCAAAGAAAAAAGGATAAAGCAGTGTTAATTATATAACATCTTTAACTCCTCGTTTTCAACGTCAAGATTGTTTTCAAGAGAAACATTTGAAATCACCGTCTGCTTGTCTCTGCGTAAAGACTCTCTGGAGAGTTCACTGCTCGTAAGTTCAGATTCCAACTTGTGTATCTTTGCTTCCAGGGCGGCGCGTTCATCTTCCAGACTGCGCACCTTCATCATTGTGGATTCGACCAACTCGCTCTGTCGATTCGCCGACTCCGTCGCCGAGTTCACCTTTTCTCGAAGACTTTGTATTTTCTGCGGAAAGAGAACGCGCTCGTGACGTTACGAATTTCGATATCGCGCTGATTAAACTCGTCCTCCATATGCCAAGACCAAAAATATACAAAAGTTTCAACGTTTTTATAAGATTCTCGATTTTTTATCATTGAACAATTTATACAAAATTTATAATTCATAAACTTTCATAAATTTACAAAAAATAATGGAATAATTTATCAATATGAACGAGACAACTGAAAGCAAAAATGATTTACGTTTAAAAAACTTATTTTTTCTCAAACAAAAATCGCGCATATGTGGTTTCGACTTAAGAGTGACGATATTAAATGCACGATGAGCTACTAGCGACTGATCCTTGTTGTCTGCCAGGATCTCTCGGACACGATCCTTAATCGCGTTCTCATGAGACTCGACGAATCGATTGGGTGTACTGACGAGGATCGCCAAGGACTCTAGAAGGTGACGCAGGTCGTTTTGCACTCGTTGCGTCTTCTCTTCGCGAGCTTTTAAATCCTCTGTAAAACCGACACAAATTACCAGAAGTCACGAGACTTAACCGGTCGCCATCGTTTACCTCGTAATTGGCAGATCAGCGCCTCTTGATTGGATATGTTCCCCGTTGCGCTGGTTAAGCTTCTGTTCGTGTTCACAAGTTTGTCCCTCAGGTCGTTTATTTCCTTTTCCGCGACCCTATATTGCATTTCCACGCACTCCTTCTCCTGATATAGCAGTAATTAATAGTTTTACATAATTAGACAAATTCATAGATTTTAAATAAGAACTTAAATAAAGTAAAGGAGAACTTTTTTTAAATTTTTGATATTGATAGATAAAATTTTCATCATTGTACCTGACGCAGACGATCTATGTCGACCAGCTGAACGGACACCTGTCTCTGCAACTGCTCTTTTTCCGTAGTGGCACGATCGAGAGCGTCTCTGCAGGTTCTGAAATCTACCTCGACGCCCGTCAACTGGGTCTCGACGTTCATGCTCTTTGTTCGCAGTCGATTCACCTCTTGCACGAGCTCTTCGGCCTTGTGAATCACCATCTCCGGACTGTGATGCACCGCCTCGCTGTACTCGACGTTCAACGCGTGTGCCAGTCTTCGTACAAAATCCTGTGGGAAGGAGATATCGAAAATGCGATTTTAATGTCGGAGAAAAGAAAAGATTGATGCGATTTTTTTCTTCAGTGAAATATATACAAATGGATGTGTCGATAGCACGACGTGAAAGTGCAGTCGAGCGCATATTGAAATAACATATGGCACCTGCAGATTCAGACGGGCGCGCTCCTTCAATTGAATCTCCTCGGATATATTGTGCTCCAATTGTCGAATTTTCTTGTCGTACTCCCTGACCTTTTCCTCGTGATATTTTACATCACGTTGCAGACCTTGTATCGTGATCTCACTCCTCCCCTGGGACGAGTAGAGGTTCCTCTCTCTCTCTTCGAGTTCCTAAAATCGTTATTGAACTCTGCGAAACGTGTCGTGAATTTATCTGTCAACTACAAATTCTATACTCGTCGTCAAAATTTTCTTGGTGAAACTCAGACAAGCAAAAAGAAAGAAGCAAATGATCTCGACGCTCATTAAAGGAGAAATCCTTTAATTGTCCGCTTGTTGACGGAAATAAATTAACCTGAATGCGCTTCTTGAGACTGGAAATGACAGCATTTTGCCTGGCTGCCTGCTCGCGAAGCTGATCGGTCTCCACCTGCAATTCCACGACCCTCTGGTCCCGCGATCTCACGACGGTCTTCATCTCCTGCAACTAAAGTGTCGAGACGTTGAATTAATAACGATCAATTTTCGAAGCGAAAAATCAATAATCTGAGTTTTACCTCGGACATAAGTCTATCTCGTTTATATTCAAGGGCTGCCAGCTCGCTTCTTAAAGTAGTCGTCAGATCATGAGTCATAGCGTTGTCTGGATCCGCCTGTAATCAGACATTCAGTTGCCTCATTTCCGATAAAATAAAAATATTTTATATGTATTGTTGATGTATTTTCATTTGCAACGCTTCGGTGAAATGTGCGGAATTTTTTCACAAAAGTCAGATTTAATTATCCTGTAGAGCTGTACGATAAATGACATGAAATTCTAATTACATTTGCATGGGGATTAACATCGAATGAATAACAATAAGTAATCTACGTGAAAACACGTGTCGATGGGTGATAGACATGTTTGCTTACTAGTTACAGTCGTTTACATGCTTTTACGAGTCTCTCAGCATAGTTGCATCTTGTATACAAGAGAGTTAGAGTGACAATTGTTATAAATTATCAATCTCATCGTCTGTATCGCACCGGGTCGTATACGGAACTCCCGTTGGGTTTCGCCGCGGGCGTGAGAGGAGACTCGTCGTAAAGAAGGTGATTTTATTTCCCGAAGCTTTCTCTACCCGAGAGAGGACTTGATGCTGAAGCGCTCGTTTAAAAGCCGGGAATAGATTAGCGGCTTCTGAAGTTCCGACCTCCGATCTCTGCCACGCTCAGAAAGAACGTGAGGAGGATCCGCAGGTCTCTCCCGGCGATTCGTAATGACGTTCATTTAAAGCTTCCACGACGGAAACCTTACGAGGCGATTTGCGCCTCGGTCATTAAGTACGTCTGCCTGAAATTGCCGCCGGATCTTAGAATGTCGACCACAATGTGGATAAGTCGGCTCATCATCAACGGTTCTATTCTTAGAATATCCTTGGACTCGTGTATTTTTAAATGCTTGCAAGATTAAGACAATATTGCACGTCTTAGGAATTATTTCTTTGGTAAGTCCGTGAAATCGATTTTTCGTCACTAAAAATATTTTCTAATGAAAGTAAAGATCAATGTGAGTTATCATTCGCATCATACTTCAGTCTTTAATCCCACACATTTTAACAATTTTTTAGTGTAGAAAATGAGATTAATATTATTGTTCATTTTTTTATTTTCTAGCGCAACAGATTACTTTGTCAAAATTTTTCGAAGAAAGAAATCAACAATATCGAAGAAGACTATATTCAACTAAATTGCTTACGGCAATTGGAACGAGTGTTATTGAAAAATAATAGTAGAAGAGTATTTCGTGTTCCAACGCAAAACTATATCAATATTCGAGCAAATCAACAACGATACGTCAACGCGAGAGATTGCGTTACACGCAATCAAGTGTTGCACAAAAATATTTTTTTGGGCGGAATTTGCCAAAGAAATAAAATACGCGGTCGACGTTATCGATCACTTTACATATTAATTAACGCGACTCTGCTTGCGATTATTGCAATGCGATTCGACGATGATTAAATTACCATCAAGCCAAATTGGAAGGATGCACATGCTAGCAAAAGGACCGTTATATAGGTAACGAATATATGGCTGAATATATATATATATATATATATATATATGTATCGATAATTATCGTCGTTCTAATTAAACATTTCAGTAATCTAATTCATACCCACAAAGTCGCTTTTATCTCGCTTTGGTACCGATTTACATTCGACATATTTAATTAATTTTTAACAAATCTGACTTGTTATGCGAGCTACGTGGAATTAAATATATCCCGTCGAATTATTTTCTCATAATGTGAAATTAAATAAGTGCACATTCAATAGAAATTTATTTCGTCGTTAATTACGATCATAAGCGGATTAAATTTTTTATCGTGTAAAAAGTAACGTAAAAATCTTTTTACAATTATTTCTTTTTACTCCTATCTCTCTCTCTCTCAATCTTATTTGCGAGTTTGCAAACGGGAATGAATTGTAATATAACTTTATGATAATTGTCTTATTTTATTTGAACGCAAACAAAAGTAGGAAATGAGATCATAATGGAATAAACACGGTGCGAAATTGTAAATGAAAGTATCTTTATGCATAGGAAATTTACTAATTACACATTCACTCTACCAGGATACTGACATCTAATACTCAAAGCTGATTGAATTACATTTAGTTAACGAAGAAGCTTGCTCCACTTTAGTAGCGTATTCGAACATTTCCTTCTCCGCAGAGATCATTAAATGAGGAATTAATTAAAAATAATAATTAATAATTAAGCTATCATAAAAAATAGAACAATTCCAATAATGTCGTGTAAGATTTCCCTGGCAGAAAGTGTAATTAACCCCGAAAATATAATGTATTCCTAAAAGGCGGTTTCGCCAATTGTTCTCTCTCTTGTCAGACGAAATTAATCTCGCCGCCGCAACATCTCGTATTTAATGTACAACTGGTCCGCTCGAAAACATAATCAACTATAGCTACCTGGTCTCGCCCATCGGATTTATCCCCGTAGGAATTTCCGCCGCACGATGGTGTTTACTGTTACGCTTCGTGTTCTCGAAGTCCGCTCTTCAAGTTCGCATGGAACATTTGAATCGACGCAGAGTTCTCGCATTCGAAATCCCGATAGCCGATCGCAAATATTGTTTCCATCTCCTGTTTCGCGAGGAAACGGCTCTCACGAACCGTCGCCAATTTCCAGGACGATCCAGGGCGCGCGCGCAGGACACAGGCAGTTACAATAGTGAAGTTTCGTCTGCTTACGACGGTGGATTACGTGACCCGAATCGTGCCGTCGCCGCCTTCCGAGGGCGACCTCGCGGCCTCAGGTATACATATACCTGCACGAAAATCTATGCTCGCAAAATCTACGTCATCAGAGATATCGCGACGAGAATATCGCCGTGGAACCGAGAGCACGATACAATGGAATATATATATATTCGCTTGAATTTACAGGGTCAGTGTTTCCGCAATGATCCGTTTCTCAATGACGCTCTATATTTGGTTCCCACAACGCGATACAGAGACGGATGCCTTCCGATTTTGATTAGTGCAAAGTATAAATATGCATACACTGTGGAGATATTTATAATACAGTCAAATATAGAGAAAAAGAATAAGAATATATATAAGAATAATATGTTATATATATAAAACTTATATTATACATATATAATAAGGTATAATATAAGATATATTATATCTTATATTATATCTTATTATATTATATTTTATATATATATATACATATTTGCCTGAATTTACAGGGTCAGTGTTTCCACACTGATGCCAGAGACGGATGCCTTCCGACTTTGATTAGGGCAAAGTATAAATATGTATACAATGTGAAGATATTTACAATACAGTCAAATAGAGGAAAAGAATAAGGAGTGAAATTATTTATATTTAATTTTCGAACGAAAATCTCTGCTATTTTTTCCCTCGATTAAAAGGCTTTCAGAACGATTTACATATATATGCAGTTTGAACGTGAAATTAAAAGAAAATCATCTGCACGGGATGTTGCATTCATGTACGCTCGTCGGAAATAAATTAACGTCTATCGCCGGTTTGGACGTACGAGTTATTTAAATTCAATGTGTTCTATCTCCCTGGGAATCAGATTAAAATCAGAATCCGCGATCTATTGTACGTTGCATCAATTATCTCGCGATTCAATTACGCGACAGAACTGGATTTGTGTTATTATACATCTCTCTTTCTCTTCACCTGACCTGAAAATAGTTTCAATGAGCGGGATGGCTTTTGGCAACGGCACAATCCCGCGCTTTCGTGGAATACCGCGAATTTCCACGGTGCTTAAATCCGATGTGATATCGAATCATATATACATATATTTGTGATATTCTCCAATAAACATCTCAACAATTTTGAGGAAATGCGCGACCTATATTATACAGTTGATATTTACTTGGTATAAGCGCGCTCGTGCTTACAACGGAGGGATTACAGAGCAGAGCCGGCACGAGGCATCCCGTGCACGTACTCGTGTAAAAAATTTGTAAATTCGCCATCGGGAAGACTCTCTTGCGAGTCTTTCTTTCTACGGAGCGGCATGTTTCGCCGATACAGCGCAAACACACGAAATTTCATCGTATACGGGCGGGCGTAATAAAATCGCAATAAAATTGCAATGAGAGTACGTGAGCATTTTAAGAAATATACTGTTAAAATAATTTAAATCCAGCCTCCCTCTCCGTTGAAAGTTCAAATGACACATGTAGCTTCTCAGTCCATTAAAAGTGGAAAAAGTTGTTACGTGTGAAAATAAAAAATGAACGCACGAGCCTTGCATGAGCAACATTTCTACCTATACTTATGCAAATCTGATCTACACGTCGCCGGGATGAAATTTATTGTTACAACTTAAAAACGTGGAATAAAATATATTATATTGCGCAGTGAGAGAGTTTTTACTTCAACTAAATAAACGATATAACGTTTTTGCAAATTTTTGCAAGTTTTGTATGATAAAGTTTTTGAAGCAATCAAAATATGATATTATATTTTTAAAAAAATTGCGATTAAACTATGCGTTTATATAATATTTGGAATTCGATATTTACAGTGGCGAGCTATTTTAATAAATATTGATTGGCTATCGAATTTTGCTTTTCATTATACGTATATACAAGTTAAAAATATCATAAACAAGGTAAACCATTGCGAAGTTAACGTTTACCTTTTTTATTATTTTTCTGCATCGATAATAAACATTTATCTACATCAATTTTTCTATTAGAATAAGTATAAGTAACAGGTAAAAGCTTCTCTAGCTGAGATGTTTTATATGAAAATATTCCATGTTATATAAACGGGAAAAATCTTTCGAATACTAAGAAGATTATATAACGAAACGCAAAAATATGAAATTCTGGACTTGTTGGAAATTCTATTTTTATAAGATATTACATTTATATTTGTTATTAAATTAATGATGTATATGCATGTCATTTTTCTCATATATTTTCTTAAAATTACAACAGTTTTCCATATTTGAGAGAGATATATAGAGAGAGCAAGGAAAACAATCTAAATTTATTTTGGAAACTGATACGTAAGCCTGGTAGAATCTACATGTAATTAAAGCATAATACTGGCACGCTAATGTACCAGCAAATATAGCTGATATAGAATACTGCATCGATCTATTTGTTCATCATAATTACACGAATTAGATGCACCAGAACAACTGGATATCAATGAAACCAAAATGCAAATCTATATTTATACAGCATAATCTAACTCTATCTCTACTTACATAAAATGATATTATTATATTATTTTTTTACTTAATTATATAATTACTTTTATACATGGTTTATAAAAATATACCTATATTTTTCTGTGCAATTGAAAGAACAGAAAAAAAGATTAAATATTATTTTAATGATGGACAATTTGAAACTTTTAGTAGAACAAAATAATAAACAGAGTGAAAATTTGTTCTTATCACATGTTATAAACTGAAAGAAGTAAAATAAGCTAAGAAAATGAATCTTCCAAAATCTATGAGAAATGTCAAATCTATGATAATTTTGTACATTCCCCAAAAAAGATACGTTTATTTTCGGAAACCAACATTTCAAACCAGTCGAAAGAGAGACTTGAGGCGAAATTAAATGTCGGAACATTGACAAAACCCGGATCTAGTGAAGTCTCCTGCGCAATCTTATTTTCCCTCGCGACCAAGATAAGTCAATCCCTTTTTTTCAGTCGTGCTCGATAAATTAAGATCGGCTTCGAAAGCACGCGACAGCGCGTACGGTCGTTTGGGGTAGCAGCGACAGGTGAAATCGATTCCCGTGCAACGCTATGGCAACGCGACCCTTATTCACGCGCGAGTCGATACGCGGTCGCACGATTCGTGCGATTCAAGCGAGTTCGATGCGATGAAGAAAAAACGAGAGAACGATAATGACGAGAGCGCGTGACGGAATCCTGCGTGCAATTAAACACACGAATCGTCTAATTAGACAGCAATGTGTGATTTGGCGCGACGAGACAAGAGACGTTCTCGATTTAGAAAGTCGGAGATATTTAAGACAGAAATTGCGTGATTTGTTTCTTTTTTTCACGTTGACTAAGTCTTTCAATATTATTTTGTTAATCGAATATATCAAAGTATTTAAATTAAATATAACATATTAAGTCTAACATCTAACAAAACGTATATTTGACTTAAATACTAATATATGTTCAATTAACAAAATAGTAATTTAGTTGAGAAAAGTTTAGTCAAATTAAATAATTTTTTTCAATGCAATTAATAATTGTTCAATGTAAAAATAATTTGTCGTTCTTATTTTATTTTTGCTTCATTGATATTACGTAATCGTGATCATTATAATCATTATTTCGTAACATGGAAACATCTGCGTGTTCTAATTTTAAATTTGAATAATTCTAAAAATGAGATATGTTATTACGCAGAAAAAGAAGATAGCACATTTGAACATTGCGAGACAGACTTGAATAATTTAAATTCTGCATTATAATGGCAAATTTTCATCTCGTGCATTTTTCAAGAATGCCAAAATGTCACAGCAAATTCGGAATATACGCAAAAATACGAAAAAGTAAAAAAACACTGAAATCCTTTTATCATGGCATTTATATATCTCAGATCTTCCTAAAATGTTCTCTGATCAAAAATAGCTCGCGTTGCTTAAAAGTTGGTCGCATTCCAAGATGACGAATCGATTCATTGGCAACCAATGATCCATCAAATAATCATGTTGATCGTGTAAAGTGATCCATATTGCGCATTTCCGTTATCGATCTGTTGCCCTTCGATGGACACATCGTGTACTAGCATGTATACAATGAGAACCTTTGTGGCGGATGATACGGGTATATGCACGTGACCGCACGTACGATTAGCATGTGAATGCATATGTGCATGTTGCATATATATATATATATATATATATATATATATATGTATGTATATACGAACTGATGCAGCGGCAGAAGGGACGATGTAAGCCAGTGATGTAGCTCACGATATATGCAACATTTACAATTCTCTATTCGAGCTCGCGAAATTCCGTCTAAACTTATAATAACTATCAAGACATCGTGGCTTGTTATACATATTCAAATATAACTTGTTACGTTACATTCAGAAGATGTCAGAATAATTTTACAATCATGAGATAACAAGCTCTAACTGTATATTATTATTATTCTCATTGCGCGCATTTCTTATTGGCAAAATATTGCGCTTGTGTAATTACAGGTAGAGAGATTATTTGGCAAGAATTTAAACACTTTTTATTCATCTCATGTACAGAGAGAGAATTTTCTCTGAGAATTTATCCTGAAATTCATGGTAATCGTGGGATAATATGGTACTGGAAGAATTTTATAAGGATTTCTCTGATTAAATTTATCATAATTAAAAATATATAATATTAATATCTACCACAATAAAGTATAAAATATGTTTGATTAATTGGACTAAAATATATAGTAAAATTTCAATAATTTTAAAATATATTAAAACCTATATTAAAAATTTATGATTCTTTAAACGTTTTAAGTAGAATAGATGACAAAAAGGTTTGATTAAACTCATAAAATATTTTATATAAATTTTACAATGCAGCATAATATTTTCAATCCAACTTAATCTTTTATGATAATATTAATGCAGTATGGTAATTTTCAGCTTATTATCAAACATAATAAAATTTGCAGTGAATTTTACGGTAAAATATTAATGAAAAATTAATTCTCTTCTCATATAGTTGCTTTACAGATTTAATTAAGCTCCGAAAGCTAATATTCGCGCGTCCCTATAATCATCGTAAGACATCGTCGGTCCGACGTAATTTAGCAAAATCAAAATATAACAACAACAATCCGTAATAATTTCCGTTCACAAGTTTTTAATTATCTCTGCATGTATATGTGCGAGGAACAACGTATATCCACGTGCGTGCATGTGTGCTTTTACAAGCGCGTATTATGACAGGTGCATTTTGACAGATCGTCGCGGGTAAGAAGATGCAATGAGTGCGTTTGTGTCATCGATTGACCTTCCGTGGCGAGGAGATGCAGAGCGTTTCAAAGATCCTCAGATCCTCTTCGGCTTCTTCCTGCGCCTCCCGCGTTTCGGCATCGTCAGACGCCATCCCGCTTCCTCGTTCTCGAGCCTCTTAACGAGCGGCAAGAGACCTCAACGCGAACTCGACATTCCTCGAACGCGTACGACCGCGAACACAACCCCAGAAGGAGGACGCATAGAAACCAGCTGCGACGTCGACGAAGCGCCTCTACGACTTAAACGTCGACGGGCGTCGCGACGCGTGCGATCGAAACGCATCGATCCGAGAAAACAATGTGCTTTTGCGCGCGCTTCCTTTAAAGTAAAAGGAGCCTTCGAGGTTTCGCTCCTTCGATCAAATGCGCGATATTTTTTTTTTGCATAAAATAAAAACGCAAAAGCGAGTCCAATTTTTCTCTCTCTTCATCGCCTTTTTTCTTTTTATCGCATTTATATACGGAGAACATTTTCTCTTAGAATTTACCCTGGAAATCATGGTAATCGTAAGACAATATGGTATTGGAAGAATTTTATAAGAACTTTTCTGATTGAATTTATACCGCAATAAAAAATATTAATACGTACATAGTAAAATTAATAAGAACATATTTATATATTAGTGTGGTAGATATTAATATTTTTATTGTGATAAATATTAATCAGAAAAACTTTCATAAAATTTTCCAATATACCATATTGTCCCACGATTACCATAATTTTCAGGGTAAATTCTAAGAGAAAATTCTCTCTGTGATATATATAGTATGCGTATAAATTAACATTAAAATAAAGTTGTAAAATTTGTGCAATAATATATACCATATATATATATATACATATAAATGCAACAAAGAGAAAGGCGAAGAGAGAAAGAAAAATATGTGTATCTGACATTTTCTGTTTTAAAATTTTAGAGAACAATGCAACGTAAATGGTAAAATCGTTAATGATTGTATTGTTTCATTTTGCTACATTTCATTTTGACAATATTTATATGAAACAATGTGCAATGTTGCGCGTTGAGTGAATATAAATTGATTATAAAATGAATTTAATAACGTACCTGAAAGCAATGTGAATATGTTCCAGTTTTATCGTCTTTTTAAAATTGCAAATAACTTTTTATGCCAATCGTTAATGAAGCATAACAATATTAATATAACGTCACTTTAATTACCGGCTGTCATTCCTGTACTTTCTCAGAAATTTCTATACTTATAAATATCTTAAAATTTTATATTTTACTTGCAGAGATTCCAATGTCGCTTCAAGAACTAATATCTTGCTCGAAGAGGACAGGAAGCGCTATCTATAGCTGAATTTTGGATCTAGTACAGAATTGCTCGTAAGATAAATTACCGATAATTCAAGATGGCAACATCCTAATAGTTAATAGTGCACCGCATGTTACTTCTCACGTGCATGTGCAGTATTGTTTAATTTTTCGTTAGTTTTATTAATTATAACAATGTTCTCCCGTTTTTGTAATTTATGTCACAAAACCACAAACATCCAATTTGCACAATTGCAAAGAAATTACGTAAGTGCAATATTTCTTTTATTCTTGTTTATTTTGTTACATTACAGGCAACGAATGTAAATAAACTTAATCTAATTAAATTAATATTATGCACAGAAAAGAGGTATCAGAAGAAAGAGTAAAAATGTCAATCAGATCGAAGCACCGACTGACATGGAAGGAAAGACACCAATAATTGTCTGCAAACAGAAGAAGTTCAACTTTTACGAAAGACAAAAGTATTCTAAATTTGCACCTATACCACTGGCTAGTAAAGGATGGCTTCATTATAAATCTAAAGGGGATTATTTCTTCGTGTATCCTCTTACAAATGTAATGTATTATCTATAAATTTTTCATTATTTATCTGTATTTTCTATTTATATACCTGGCTCATATATGCACATTAAACTTTCAGGTGGAAGAAGAGGCATATGGTAACGAAGAAGAAGAAGTATACAAGTCTTTTGCACAATTTGGCTTAAATCCACAAATAATACAAGTCTTGGAAAGATACAATATAACAACGCCTTTGAAGATACAAACATTTGGAATACCTCAGATAATGAACGGTGCTAATACTGTCATAGCAGCTGAAACTGGTTGTGGAAAAACATTAACTTATCTTCTACCTATGATAGACAAAGTTTTGAAATGGAAAGAGTTAACAGGGATACAATACAATTCTCCATTAGGATTGATTATCACACCTACTCGAGAATTGGCATTTCAAATTGGGGTTTGTATTAATAAACAAACTATAATAAACAAAATTAATTAATTTCACTTGTCTTTAAGGAACATATTGTACTTTTTACAGCTAGAAGCAAAGAAAATATGTCAATATCTTAATATTCGTGTAAAAACTATTACTGGTGGAAAGACAGGAAAAATGATGATAGATCCACCTGTTGACAGAGTTGATATTATTATAGCCAGTTTCGGAGTCATCAGTAAATTAACCACACACAAAATTTATAAATTGAATATGGTCAGATCTATTGTATTGGATGAAGCAGATGCCTTATTTCATGAAACATTTGAAGAACAGTTACAAGTATTCCTGAAAAGAGTACCGGTATATATATTTACATCTTTTTAATTATTTATAAAGTATATATTTAAAGATGTGTAATATATACATCAAATCAAAATATCATTTCTAGCTTGGCTTTGCACATAATGTATATGATGACCAACTGCCTACAGGTGCTCAATTCGCATTAGCATCTGCAACGATGCCTGCAAGAATGTCGAATGTTTTAAACAAAATCATAGATGTAGGTATTCTCAAAATTTTAGGTACACAAATTGTACATTATGTTTTTTTATTTAATTATATTTTTTGTGCAGGTGAAATCATTGGTACATATAACTACAGATAAGCTACATCACATTCTTGTGCCACAAAAATTTATGAGAGTGGGACCAGATAATAAACCAATAGAACTTTTAAAATATATTAAGCCAAAAATAGCTAATAAGGAGCAAGTAATTATATCAATAACAACAATACCACTTGTAACTGGGTCACTATGTTCCTGAACAAATGCAACATAGAAACAGTTCACTTAAACGGTGACATGCCGATGTACGAGAGACAAAACAAATACGCCAGCTTCAAAGGTGGTAGATGCCTTGTATTGTGCACTACAAACGCAGGGTCCAGGGGACTGGATACAGTTGCGATACGTCATGTGTTGAATTACGACTTCCCAAATGCAACCGCTGATTACATTCACAGGTATCTTATCATTATTTGCACAATCTGTCTAATCTCTTATAAATTTTGCATATATTATATATAGTATATATTATATGATATTTTGTGTGATATATTGTATGATATGTTATATATTATATTATTTGATACTTTCAGATGTGGTAGAACCGGAAGAGTCGGTGGTGTTGAGGACTGTAGAGTAACGAATTTTATAAGCTCTAAGGCAGAAATCACTATGGTACACAAAATAGAGAGGGCAATTCGAAAGATGAAACCGATACCAATATTCGATATTAATGAAAGGAAAGATGACGTTTTGGATTTACCTGAAATTGATGAGAAAGATCAGCAACAAGAATTTAGTATACCGTACTGAATATGTAAATAAAAATTATTTCATCTAATATATATATATATATATAATTTTCTCGCGGTTATTACATAAGTTATGCGAATATTCGATATTCAATGCGTAGTAAATGCATTTCTTTTTTCGCTTAACTTGTGTAGTTTGTAGTTAAGTGGATAGGATAGTTGCGACGATAATGTTTTACGAGGAAACTTTCGGATGAATCGTCCGATGGGATCAACTAATTAGCGGAATGTTGTTGTCCTATTTGATCTCTTTGGGAGACATCTCGAATAATTGTTCTCCACCCGAACTGATGAGTTTATCGGATTAATTAACATAGTTCTCTCAGCCAGAGAACTTTCATTCATATTTATTTCTTTTTTAAAGATAAATTCCTCGTAATTCATTTCGATCTATTTATCTCCTCTGCACGAAAAGCAGTCGAGAACAAATTTCTCATCCGTTTCCGACGACGCTTATCAATGTTGGCGTAACGCGTTTACCAGATGAAAGAAAATTAAGCGAGCCGCCCCGTCCCACGTTTTAATACTCCCTTCCCTCTCGTCGCTCAACACTTTCCGGCGGTTCCTTTTATCGCTACGATTTCTGAATTCCAAGTTTCAGTTCCAGGGAGAGGAAACCGCGACCCGCAGACACACACGTGCGTGACATGCTCCGTCCATCCGATGTCCCCTCCTGCCATGTCCAGGCGGCACTCCCACGTGGTGGACGCCCACACACGCGGCAAATAGGAATACTTCCCCCGTAGACGATGATGGTAGACCTTGCGTCTAGACGGTTTATTATTCGTGCCGGGTTTTAGCGAAATTAAATGCAATCGGCACGCGCCGACGATTCGTGCCCCCGCGTCACGCGCTGGGTGTGCCGGATCGTCTCGTGTCATCACAGGAAGGACCCCCTACGTCCCACGAGAGGGATAACGCCTCGGAGCGGCGAATTATCGCTCGTGTCAAACGTCATGCGTGAATGACAAAAGGGAGTCCGCTCGCCTACCGTAAAATCTAGGGTAAATGCCGACAGATAAATATTTGAAATATTCTTCGATCATTGAATTTGTATTATTTAATTTAATTCTATTTTGCTATTATTCCATAATTTTTAGTTTATTCGGTTTTTTAATTTATTATTTTTTTACTTCTTTTGTTCATTTATAATTTATATCATCGTATATTCTTTATTACAGCTGTTGTATAATCGGTTAAGACGGTGCTCCTGGACATCCTGTATTTATGATTTAATACACGTCGTTAACGCACTTCTGAAAGAGTATATATGTATATACTGAAGACGGTCACACCTTTAGCATACACGTCGTTAAAGTTACATCTGACGAACGCGCGTAAACCGTCTTCGTCGTCGAGAAACGGTATAAACCTATGTAGTGCCGCTAGTGGCGATCGCACGATGATAATGGATTAATTAGCGTGGGCAGCCGAGTGACATATAGGACAGAACGGTACGGTGGGGATCAGACGATGCAACGTCCTCCGTAGCGGGAGATCTCGTCTCTGATCTTAACCAGATGCGATTTGCGCCACACGCGCGGCTTTTGGCAGTAAGCATCATATGTATGCATTTACATACTCTTTAATCTTCCATTTTCTACGTGTTTCGGTTTTATTTTTTTAATCTATGTTGTTTTATTTTTTAAACTATACTGACAATGAGAGTTAAAAATATATATATTTTTAGGTTTTTAATAACAAAGAGGAAAGCGATAACAATTGTTATTTTTGAGAATGAAAATTGATATGTACGTTGTAAATTCTTTTCACATTCTGCCAGTAGAATGTTTTGATACAGTATCAAATATTAGGACGAGACAAAATAATTATATGTATGTGATGCTTAATGTTTTGATGAGAGTCCAGGAACATAACGCTGCTTGCTTAGAGATAAAAAAAGATGATTTACAAAGTTTCCGCGTCGACATGGACTGTTATTGTTTACGCGGAGATGCCCAACACTGGTTTCCGAGAAGAAGAGCGCGCGTCCGCATCCAGGCATGACCGGAAAAAAGTCGCGGCTCCTTGTGAAACGACTTGGTAACGACAACGACCTAAGGAGAAAATAGGTCAACCGTTTTGCATAGTTACGCAAAAAGTACATGATTTATAAGAATTTATTTCTAATCTCACTATACTTGAATTGCGGTAAAAGTAATTAATTGAGCATCGCAATCAAAAGCATGTCACGTCCGCACAGTCATTTATATATTTAATTGAGTTGAAATGTTCTCCTTTTTTCTCTTATATTAGATAAAATTAAAAAAAGTGACAGCAAATTGTTGAATAATAATTATATTTAAACAAAATTAATTATTTGAGATATTTATTCTTTTCATATAAAAGTATATAAATTTATATATTATTATATCTCATTTATATATTTATATAAAGAAAGGAGAATTAATTCTTTCATTACACAAACATATATAGTATATTACAACATGTATAAAATCAAAATGTTTTGTAAAAATAATGTATCTGAATTTTTTCAGAATTTTGATAGAATTAATAGAATTCTGATTCCTCTCTCTCCATCTTTCTTTAAGTAGCTCTAAAAACTAGCATCTATTAATTACATTGAAAATGATGTGCTAACGTGACAGAGGTGTGAAACCGCAATTAAGGATATGTGAGTAGTGAAAGGACGACTTAAGTATACCGAGCATAAATTTAATAAATATCAGGCGTGCTTTTGACGCTCGTTCTAATCACCGGTTTCTTATCGCAGATTAATTTTTCTTCTTGATGAATGCACAAATTGCAACTCGCTTGTTCAATCTATCGCCGTTCTCGCTAATGTGCATACTAACGTTAAATGTAAAAGTTTCAAGATGCACGGGAAAGGAAAATTGATTTCGGTCATTGCCAGCTGATTTTTTGCCGGAACCGCGCTCGTCTCGGTGCATCCTAATTTGATTTTAATACCCGTCTAAAGATCGTGCAAGCTTGATCTCCTATAGAGGAAATATCTCATCACGTTTGCGCAAGAACCAGGATAAGAGCGGAATCGTTGTGCGAAACGTCATCGTGATTAGTTGGAAACAATGAGATAATAAGATGTGAGAACAATCAAAATTTTAATGGGAGATAATAGATATTGATGTACATAAAATACTGCGTAAGGAAACTTGAAAATTAATATTGCCGTTCTCAGTAAACAGGAACTGTTAATCGAACTGTTTCATGTAGTTAAAAAAACAAAGTTTGACGTCATATAATAAATAACAGGAAAATAATTAATTCGATAGATTAATCCGTTTTTTAAAATACTATAGTAAGCAATCTGCAATTAAAATTTACTTCTTCATAAGATTAATCATCATTGTGCAAATGAGATATGTAATTAATATCTCTCCACCGAGAAAGAATTTTGTTATTAAAAATTAAAAAATTAATGTCACAATAATATGGTAGAATTCTAATTCAATGGATTTATTTTTATTTGCATTAATTACATATTTTATGTACACATTTGATTTTTTTGCTATTCAACAATGTAATTCTCATTTTATTTATTTTTCAGTGAAAATGAAAGAAAGACCGATTGGAAACAACAGGGTCATTGTATATTAGTCATCTACGAGGGTCGTATCCTGAGGAATCGGAGTGCTCCAGGCACGGAGTACATATTGCCATAAGATGCACATTCAAAGCGCGGCGGGAAGGGGAGCGACCAATGAGAGGAAGCGTAGAGGGGGAAGAATCGGTGACGAGACCGGTCCGCCAGAGGCGAGCCTGACTTCAGTCGGTTCGCGGAGCGCAAGCAGTCAACGTTGTGGGGTATCGACGCTCGCACGAGCGTCTTCGTTTCGCGAGTTTTTTTTCTTGCATCATCTATTTCTCGCGCGATCGTGTCGGCGTGACAGTCGGGCAAGAATATCGGTACGAAAAATCGCCCTCGCACGTTGCGAGGAATCGTGAAAGGAAGAGAAGGTGAGAGAAGCAAGCGCCGGCGTCGGTTGATACCAGCTTGACGCGCGGTCAACTTCAGAGCGATCAACTTCAGATCCTCGAAGTGTGCTGCGTGTTCGCGAGCGTGGACCGGAAGCCACGACACCGGAAACGATGCCCGGACGGGCATCGTCGACGAAGCTGGATCGCGATCGCGCATTGAAAGAGGAAAAGAAATAAATATACATATATAAATCGTACGTTGTGTACATACATTCCTCGAACGTTCGCTTGTGTTTGTGACGCAGTGGCATTATTGACGCGAGTGAATCCAAACAATCGGTTGAGAATATCGAACTGTAATTCGCCGGAAGTCGGAGAGTGAATTCGCGAGATCGAGTAAAGTGATTTACGATCATCAGTAGTGATCCCTTCTTGTTGGTGATTTGTGACGGAAGACAGAAGATTGGAAAAGAAGAAAGAGGAGCACGCTAATCGGCGTGCAGCGTCAGTGGAGGTTACGGTTTGGTGTGCTCCAAAGGGAAACCGGAAGCCGCTATATTGGAGAGGAAGCGGGAAAGCGGCGTGCCGCTCTTCTGTGTGCCGCGGCAGAGGCGCTCGTCCCAGCCGGAAAACGTGAGTCTCATTTTTTTTTTTTTTAATTGTTAGTCGATGTCAGAAATGTCAGAACATCGATGGAATTCTAATAAATGATAACACTCGTAATATTATAAAACACTCATAATATTCTAACAATTGAAATGCTAATTATATTTAATTATGTATATCTGTCAAAAGACATATCAATGATTTAATCATTATTATTATTTTACGATTTAAGTATATAGGAGTAAGTCTGAAACAAAATGCGTTTCAAATATATATTCTGATACCGATAACAATTAACGTATTTAATTATACTCTTACTGCGCAACACGGCAAAGGCTAAATGATAATTCCCTCGTAAAAATTAAGTAAATTAGAGAATACAGCATGATAATGAGTACCGTATCCAGAATTAAAACTACAAAGCAGAAGGGCAAGGTTCTCAAGCTGTAATTATTGTGCGAAAGAAACACCGGAAAACGTTCATTTGCGATGATTTGTTAGTTTCGTCGTTTAATGAAAAAGTCGAG